CGTCGGAACAGGGACGCGCACTCAGAGCTCCAGGGAAAGCAAGCCTGCCCCGCACCGGGGTTGGACAAAGAAGACAGTCTTTGCTAGTTGGGACAAATGGACAGCTCCAAGATTTTGTCAAAAATATGTTTTAAATGTGTGGCACAATGAGGCATTTTATTTTTAAAAATACTATATTGGCAAGAAATATACTGAAATTAAGAATATTTTCCCTCCCTTTTCCGAGTGTGTGAGGGTGAACAGGTGCCCGTGAGAGAGAAAATAACGGACATAACTAATAGTTGTTTGATGTGTCTTGGCAAAGTCTTTTTTGGAATTTTTCATAAAAATATAAGTGGATTATAATGAATGACTATAAGGGCTGGATAACAAACCCTTTTGCCAGTCAGGTCACTTTTAATTTTTTGCTTTCAGCAAAATTGAAGGCAATCAAAATATCAGCGTAAGAACATTAAAAATAATGTTTGATAGATCACAGCATGATACATTACTGAGTTCAAAGAACTGAGTGATGGTTAATAATAAACCTGTTGCTTATTGTGTGCGTATGGCTTCTCTGAGTTCACTTCTAAACAGATAAAGAATAAGAATGTAATTGACGCAAACTCATTCTCATTCTAATATTAAGTGATATTCATTCACAGATACGTGAACTCATTTTTTAAAGGTCCCATTCATCTTATTAAGAGATTGCTCTCCAATGCAATTTTGATTTTTGTTCCATAACTTTTAATAAAAATTTGTAATACATGTATATTGTGAATTAATAATGATACTGGTAATTTGAACTAGAGGAAGGTTGTTAATTTTGAGTGTCACTTTATAGAGATTTTTCTATTTTATTGACTTTTGGTTTTTTTTAGAGAGAGAGGAAGGGAGAGAAAGAAACATCCATCAGCTGCCTCCTGCATGCCCCCTACTGGGGATTGATCCTGCAGTCCAGGAATGTGCCCTGGCCGGGAATCAAACCGGGACCTCTGTGTCCATGGGAGGATGGACGCTCAATCCACTGAGCCACACCTGCCAGGTGAGATATTTGTTTTACAGCAAGATGACAGGAAATTGACACAAGACTTTTAGGCATAAAGCATGGGACATTGGGATTCGATCCTTTGGGGAAAAGAAAATAGGAACATGAGTTCAAGGAGATAGGGGAATCATACATTTTTCTATGGTTAAAGAAGAAACATGTTCATTTTTTAAAGAAATGATGGATATATCAAATTGCTGTGGTGTTTAGACTTCGTGGCAGACATTTTAAAGTGTCATATGATGGCTTTATTTAAAAACGACCACCAGGACAATGTGTTGGAAGGTGCCTCCTTTGCCACTATTTAAACTTCCATGAGATAATCAGATGTCAGCTTGGGCATGTGGAAAGGGGTCGAGCTCTTCAAAATTCTTTTGAGAAGCTGCCTGAAAGTTAAAGCCACTGAGTTGTAAGAGGAGCTGGGCTGCTGAGTGGATGTGTCCGCCTCATTATGAAGACAGGCTGTGGATTAGGCTCCCCCCTCCCCTGAAATGAACTGAGGGTCCACGTTCTCTTCCTGCCTCCGTGAAGGCTCTTCCCCTGTCTGTAGGTACCATGCAGAGCATCTCCCTTCTGCGAACAGCTTTGTTTGGGCAAAGCGCACTACGATGAATTGGCCTTCTCAGAGAATGGCCATTCATTCCGACAAACAATACTTGCGTTCAGCACAGAAGTGGGCATGTTTGGAGAAATGCAAGAAGTGCCCTAGGACGCAGGGCTGGACTCTTGGCTTGACAGCCTGTCCAAGGCCAGGCGGAAGCGCACGGGCAGCACCATTTACTCAGTGGGATTTATCCGGCCTATGTTGTGTCGAAGGTCTTTTAAATTAGTCGACAAGTTTTACAAAGCAGAAGAACTCACATAAAAACCCAGCTGGTCAGCTGTTTTTGGACAAGGAGGACGTCTGGAAGCCGGGCTGACGCTGGCACAGAGGAGCAGTGTGCCGAGCCCGCCGGTGGCCCAGTTCAGGCAGGAAACGCTCACCCTCTGCTGTTGTCCTGCTGCTGTCCGGACACCGCCTGCGGCACTCATTCCCATGACGCCCGAGGACCTCTGGGCGTCTTGTTTTCCCCTGGGTTGGGGGAACCTGTAGGAGAACGCAGGTGTGTATTGCACAGCGTGGCCCTGGTCAGACTGCTTTCAGCAGGTCACGCATTCGTGGGTGGTCACTGCAACGCCCGCGGGTGGGTTTGAGGTCTGGTGGAGGACATGTCCCTCACGTTCCTGTTCCTGTGGAGCTCGGCAACACATTGCATTTGCAGTGTCCCGAAAGGCTTTGCTTCCGCTGAAGGATGTGTGTATGTCTCCCCGCAAATGACGAGAACCAAGCAACCAATTGTATTTACTTTTTTTTTTTTTTTTTGCTTTGGCTCCAGAAAGCTCTAAGCCAAGTTCCCGGTTTAAGTCTCGCACTGGGAGCTCCACCTCGGGACGGGCATACCCTGTCCTAACTTTCTCTCTGGCGCCAACCTCCTGGCCTAACTCGTTCCACTGCTCCTCGTTTTTCATCTTCACGTTTTCTTATTTTATTGTATGGATTCATTGTGCGGCACTCGGACCACATCGTCGTCATCTTTCTGGATTTGTTCATTGCTAAGGGTGGCTGGAAGATCTCCTTGGGGAAACCCCTGCGCCGAGTTTTCCAAGCTCCTGTTCCCCTTTACCACACAGAGAAGTTACTCAGTTACTTTGTGAGCTTTTGAGGGATGAGGACTTCTGCGGTGATTCCATAGTGCCCAGTGTCCAGCACAGGACTTAATTCCTGTATAGTAGGGACAGGAACATAATACCAACAGTGAAACTAATTTCTTATTTCAGCTCCCCAGAATAAGGGGACTTTGTGTCTGCACCAACTCCTGACACTATTGCCATCAGGGGGATGAAAGGTGCAGGCAGACAGTAGACTTGACACGCTTTATCATGAAAGGAATGTTATGTAACACTGGGTGGTAAATGTCTTCTCTAGCAAGTAGGGTGGGCAAGGAGCTCTGTTTCCTCAAACTGTGGATTAACTTAGCTCAATGTATCTTTCTATGAATCCTTATTCAATACCCTGGACACAAACCCCACAAGCTGTGCTCTATGCCGGGAAGAATATAAACAGAATTACAACTGCTTATGCAACACCTTTAATAAAAGGTAAATCTGCAGGAACGCCACCGAGTTCTTGCAAGTGCACGAGCCTGCGTATTTCTCATGCACGGCAAAAGGAACCTGAGCTCCACTAACAGTTTGGATCCACCGTGGTTTGCTGCGAAGGAAGTTTCCCCCCAGTGGTAAGGCCCAGGCAGGCGGGAGGAGACACTTCCAGGACTGGGCCCTGGGCCCTGGGGTCAAGCTCCAAGCCCTGTTTAATGGTTCTGTCCACAGGGGTGCTCCCAGCCACATTTTTAAACTTAGTCACTCGCCCTGAATTTCAAGCCATTTTTCACTTTGAAAACTAAATGCTGTTGAGGACAGTACTCAACGTGCACCGCGGGCTGCAAAGTTCAGCGGTCCCCAAGTTGTCTGACTGGACGAAAGGTCGGAAGACACCTTTCACGGGAGGGAAAGTGTACTTTTCCATGTCCTGATGATGTTTGGAGATGGTTGAAGTGACTCTCTCCCTAAAATTTCCACATGTAAATAACTTTACCGGTGGAGTAACTTTCACATGGAGATGCTTCAGCAAAAATGTGGAAAGTAACCCTCTCTCCTCTGGTCCGTAACCCAGTTTGCAGGGGAGAACCAGGGGCCTCCCCAGGTTACAACCCAGAGCTCTGAGCATCTGAAGAGCCCCTGAACCTGAGCTTACAGCAGAGCCCTCTATCATTACTCTCCGAGTTTCAGCAGGTGGGAGAGGAGTTTTGGGGTGAGACCACTCACCTGTCCACCTGTGCAGGGAGGGCCCCGCCAGCTTTTCTGACTGTGTGGGCATCTCACTTGTCCATGGACCTCACAGCGACATCTCCCCGTTTTTGGACTTTCTTTTCCACACACAGTTATTTCTGGCCCCAAGAGGACCCTATGGGGAGGCTACTGGGCATGCTGAGTTGGACTTGCAGGATATTCCTCTGCGGGCCAACGCGTTTTTAGTAATTTCGTGAACTTTGCTCGAAGGTGGCTCAGTATGGATGTGGATCCGCCAGGCGTTAGACTTGGGGCTCCAAGCAAGAGCCGGTGGCTACAGGCATGCTCGGGGCAGGCACACCCGTGAAGCCCCGTCCTCTGCACCCCACGCCCTGGCCCCGTAGGACCAGCTCCCATTTAGACGGCGGACAAACGTGTGGCCTGGGGGAGGGGGGCCCGAGGGGCGCTCCTGGGGCTCCGCTCAGGCCTCCGCGTGTTCCCAGGCCTGCCGCCGCAGGTGTCGCAGGTGTGGCCCTGAGTCACCGGACTGACCGCGGAGACAGCCCCTCGGCCGGGCGTCGTCTGTCTCCCACGCGCAGGCTCTTCGTTTCACGAGCGTCTCCTTTGAGCGGTGCGGGTCGCTGCGCAGTGCGGCCGGCGCAGGGCCCTGTGCTGGGCGCCGGCCCGCGGGGGCCGGTCCGCGGGGGCCCGCGAGCGTCGGGGGTGCGAGCCGGTGCGGCAGGTCCCGGGAGGCGGCGGCGCGCTGGCCGCGCTGTCACGCGGCGGGGGGCTGCCGTCCCGCGTCCCGGCCCGTCCGTCGTCCCCGCCGCGCCCCTCTCTCGGGCGAGGGGTCCGCGCAGTGGTCCCCGCCGCGCCCCGCCCGCCGGCCCGCGGCGTCGGCGGCTCTCGGGCCCGGGGCCCCGCGGGACGGGTCCGCCGGCGCCCGTGCGTCCGTGCGCGCCCCGCCTGCCTGGGCCCGGGCGGGAACTTGACGGCCGCCGGGCGGGGGGCGCGGGCGGGGGCGGGGCGGCGGGGGTGGGGGCGGGGGCGGGGCGCGGGCGCGGCGGGGCGGGGCCGCGGGCGGGGCGCGCGGGCGGCGGCGGCGGCGATTGGCTGGGGCGCCATCCGGGGCCTGCTCGGCGCCGCTCGCTCGCTCGCCCTGAAGGCAGCAACATGGCGGAGGTGAGCGGGGCCCGGCGGGCGGCGGCGGGGCGGCCCGGCGCCCCGCGCCCCCGGCCGCCCGCGCCCCGGCCTCCCCGCGCCCCGGGCGGCGGCGGGCGGCGGCGGGCCCCCGGCGGGCCTAGGCCGCGGCGGGCGGGCGGCGGGCGGGCAGGAGCCCCGGGCCGGGGACGGCGCCGAGCGGGGGCCGCGGCGGACGCGGAGCCCGGACGCTGCCTCGGGGCGCCTGGGGGCGCGGGCCGGGGCTGCGACACTGCCCGCGGCGGGAGCGGGATCCGGCCGCGGGGTCCCGGCGGCGGGCGCCGAGGGGCGCGGAGGGCGGGGTGCGGGCGCCGGGAGGTGCGGGGTCGCGGACACCCGAGCGCTGCGCTGCGGGGCCCTGGGCGGCCCTGTGCCTTGCGGGCTGGGGCCGCGTCCCGGGCCGGGAGCCGGGCTGTGGGGCGGGGAGGCCGAGGGACGGGACCCCGCGAGGCCGGCGTCTCCGCGCTCGGGACAGGGGGTGCGTTCACCCCGTTGGAGACGGTCCGCCTGCGCCCCGGCCTCCGCTCGGCCGGGACGGGGCCCCTGGGCGCGGGGTGCGCAGGTGCCCGAAGACGAGGCCGGGACCGACCGGAGAGCCGGGGGCCCCGGGGCCCCGAGATGCGCACCCCCGGCTCCGGGGTAGCTCGCTGCGCGCCCGGGCCGGCCGGACCCGCCTGGGGACCCGGGTCCGCGCACCGGGCTCGGGAGGGGCCGGGCGGTGCGGCGGGCGGGTCTCCCTCGCAGCCGGGGCCCCGCGGCCCGCTAACCGGCCTTCTTCTCTCCCCAGGCTGCTTTCGGGAGTTCCAGCCCAGGTGCGTCCCTTCCCCTCCCTCCCGCGGGCCCGAGGGTGAGGCTCGGAGCGGCGGCGGCTCCCGAGCTGGTCCCCGCGTCGTGCTCAGAGCCTCGCTGCCGTCGGTGCCGGAGTGCGGGCCGCCCGGACTAGCGGGACCTCTCGGGACGCTGCCGGAGCGAGCAGCCTCTCCGCCTCCCCGCCTGTCTTCTCTGTGCCGGTTACAAAGCCGGTAACATCAGCTGTTCCGAACCTCCGGGGCGCGGGTTTCCCGGAATCGCCTGTCCACGGCTCCCCCATGCAGGGTCCTGCCCGCTTTGGTTTCTTTGAGAAACGACTCGAGTTTGTCAGAATGTCGGGGGTGCTGATGCCCCTGATAAACCTTGACGCCCATCTCCCCACTGTTGCCGCAGACGGTTTTCGTAATTGTGAAGTGTCTGCAGAGCTGTTAGGGTCGGACTTTGAGAGTTAGGTGAAGCTGCCTGAAGCCAGAGAAACGCAGGATTTCCGAGGCTGGCCCAGAAAAGGGATGGCAGCACTCTTGAGGTGAGACCACCTCACTTAGATCATGCAGGGGAGTGTTTCTCAGCCTTTTGGGGCCAGGAAACCCTGCGAGGCATCCTTGCTACAACTGGGGTCCCCGGTGAGGGCCTTGCCTCTGTGCTGCAGTGCGAGCCGAGCTTTGTTTCCATCTCTCACCCCTTCCCAGCCCCTCCTGGCTGCTGCTCTCCCCTCTCGGCTCCAGGAAAAGTTCCTCTGAACAAGTCCAACCCTTTATTTTACACTTGAGGACACTTCGCAGTAACTCTGCGGAGTCCCCTCTTCACAGCAGAACCTGGATGCGCTCCCAGGTCTGTCCCTGCTGCCTCGGAGCCAGAGGTCCGGTTCCTGGCAGGTTGCTTTGTGTCTTCAGCCCGCTTTTGAGGTCCGACTTAGTTATCATTTAGGGTATTGTAAAATAGTTGACACCACGCTTGGGGAATTTGTAGCTATTAAAAAAATAGCTGTCTACGTTTTTACATTTAAAAATCGTTTCAAAACCTTTCTCTAATTTGAGACAAACATTTCTTTGTTATAACTGATTTCAGGAAGAGAATATTTATGTGCCTGATGCCAAACATCTGGATGATAATGGAATTTTTCCATTTTGTATCACTGTCTGCTTTTAAGAAGTTACAATCTAAATAAAAAGCAAAAAGACAGTGTGGTTTTGGTGTTTAAACAAATTTATAACCTGTTTTCAATCGATTAGTCAATTTTAAAGAGAATTTTAGAGCTAGAAGAGACTCTTGAGGTCATTTAAGCCAACCCTGTGTGTTTTACAAATGAAACACTGGACCTAGGCCCAGAAGTTTAAATGACTTGCTCAGGTCCCAGAAAGCCAGGGATAAAGCCAAGAGTAGACCCTGAGGCCCCTCATTTCTGGCTATTATTGAATACCTTCCACTTTAACAGGGAGCCTGCCGAGCCCAGCCAAGTGGTGTGGGGAGACAGGGCAGAGCCCTGCCCTCTGAGAGGTGGAGAAGGTGCCATCTGCCATCCGCGTCTCCCTGGCACTTGGCACGCCCCACAGTTTTCCAGGGATTCCTCAGAAATGGAAAACTTAGCATGGATATTCTGCTTTAGAGCTACTTAATGAGTCTTTTTTCCTTTAAAATTGAGTTAATCCACCTACATACTTCAACAGGTTTTAAATGAGCAGATAACATTTTCAACATCACAGTGTACTGTAAACCTCCTAAAAAGGGGGACATCACAGTGTAAACCTCCTAAAGAAGTAAGTCTCATAGAAATTGTATATATTTTTGGAGCACATGATCGGAGTTCTCTAAACTCAGGATTGAAAACACTGAATTATGTCTGTGGTTTTTAGCCACAGTGAAAAATCTTAGGTCTAGTTCAGTATTTTATTAATGATCTCACACTTCCTAAGTGTTTGGAATTTCAAAGTATTAAATAGCTCCACTAAAAAAGATGAAATGTTTTATGTTGAATATGCGTCTTTCCATGTCTCCCTTCATTCACCCAAAGATTCTGATACTTACGTCTTTCTCTATGCTGAGAGTCACTGGTCTAATTGTATCAGTTTCTGGAGTAAAACAAGTGGCGAAAATCCCATGTTCCATCATTTGATTTCACTCTCATGGGATTATGGATCTTACTTATTTTTTTACTTGGTTTTCATAGTACTCTGTTAACCTTTATATTTGCCATTAAAATGCATGACAATCATATAAGCAAGTATGAATTGCCCAAAACAGCTTGCAGAACATCTTCCAAAACCTATAGATGTGGTTTTCTATACCCCCTCCCTTAACCCTAACTTCAGTGATCCGAAGAAGAGCGCACTCTTACAGTTTAAAGCCTTTCTGATCAATAACCAGATTTCTGTTGTATTTTGCACCTTTATTTGCTTAGAATTTGGGTGACATTTATATTCTCCCAAAGTGTTAGCCTTGGTGTATAACACATTCTTGTGGAATCTTTAATTCATAATCCTTCTGACATTTTTCTATTGCTTTTAGACAAATGTATTAAACTAACCTCGTAAGCCAGCTTGACTTTTCTATTAGAACATTTTTTAGGGCCACTCCATTTAAAAATAACTTGGCTGCTGTTATAAGTCTTACTCTCATGGATTGGACCCTTGACGCAAGTTGTTGAATTATCTGCCTGCTTCTTTTGCTGGTTTAGTTATCTCTTTAGAACTGTGTGGTCTTACTTTATAACCTGTAAAGTATATAGTAAAGCATTCAATAAAGCTCATATAAACATGAAAAGGAACTGGCAAGAGAACACAGATTATTTTCTTTTGCAAATAGCCTTATGAACTTGTAAAGTGATTGAGTTTGTTTCATTCCAGTTGGGTCGCTGTCTTCCGAGGACCATGATTTCGACCCCACCGCGGAGATGCTGGTCCACGACTGTGACGACGAGAGGACTCTGGAAGAGGAGGAGATGATGGACGAGGGTAAAAACTTCAGCTCTGAGATTGAAGACTTAGAAAAGGTAAAGGGTGTTGGCTTAGTATTTCAGTGCAGACTTTCCGTAAAGATTCTGAAATTCTGTTGTTAATTATTTTATGATCTGGTGTATTTGATCCAACTTTTACAGAACATGACTGAGTTTCTCATTATTTTGGAGGGACCTAAGTACATTAAAAAAAATTTTTTTTTTTCTTTATTGATTTGAGAGAGAGAGAAACGGAGAGGGAGAGACAAATGGAAACATTGATGAGAGAGAACATCGATTGGCCGCCTCCTGCACGCCCCCCACTGGGGATCGGGACCACAACCTGGGCATGTGCCCTAACCGGGAATTGAACTGACAACCTCCTAGTGCATGGGTTGACGCTCAACCACTGAGCCACACCAGCCAGGCTCCTAAGTACATTTTTATTTAATTTTTCAAAATTATTTTATATTTGTTAACCTAATTTTTAAGTTTACCCCAGTGCAGTGACGGAGGCACTGGCAGTCTTCCAGCCAGACTGTTGAGGCGCGGCCAGGTGCGGGCCCAGGTGCAACCAGGTGCGGGCCCAGGTGCAGCCAGGTGTGGGCCCAGGTGCGGGCCCAGGTCAGGTGCGGGCCCAGGCTAGGTGCGGGCCCAGGTGCGGCCAGGTGCGGGCCCAGCCCCGTGCTTGCGTGAGAGGCTGTCTGTCCTCTGAGGTCAGGGCGGAGTCTTTTCCTTCAGGCTGTTGCTCGTCTGGCAGGAGACAGGACACCCTCAGAAAGTTAAGAGAAACAGCTGTACTCTGGTCTAAGATGTGAGTTAGTAACACCTTGTTTTCTATACCCCCCCCCCCCAGTCATCTTCAGAAAGCTGGCAGGAATGAATGTAGTTTATGACTTTTTAAATCCAAATCAATATCAATTCAAATGAATTGGATTTTAAACACACACTTATACCAGAACTACAAAGAGAGGCCGGCCTAATGGTCACCTTGGAAAAGTGTAGGATTATACTTATCTATAAATTAACCTTATTTGAAAATTTTTAATTAGCCCAGAATAACAAAACCTTTCAGGAATACTAGTAAATATAATAATAACTCTTAGTTTTACCTTTTTCCTTGAAGACGCAGTGAGGCAGGGCGGGCTCCCATCCGTGTGTCCGCACAGGAGCACGGGCAGCTCATCCGGGCTGGGCCCAGGCCTGCTCTGCTCGAGCTGACCTGCTCCAAATACATTCATCCATTTGCAAATTGATCCAACACAGTTGCAGCTAGAGCTAATCATGCACAAATGTGTGTGTCTCCTGTAGAAGCCAACGGTGTTTGGGACTGTAGAGCTGACGTCCTAGGAAATGCTCAGGAGGAAGAGCCTGCCTGTGGCTCCTTCGGGGTGTCGAGAAGACGTGGCCGAGGCTCGAGCTCCGCTGTGGCCTCGCTCGGCAGCGCCTCCCTGTCCCTGGGAGTGGGTGACCTCGAGACACAGGGCTGTGATGCAGCTGACAGTAGTTCCGAGCCAAGGACCGGGTGGGTCCTGGGATTGCAAAAACGAGCAATTTGACAGTGTCCTTTTAGCCTGGGTGCTCACGGTGCCGTGTGGAGACCTGTGGGGACGCAGATTTCTGTGTGGGTGCCGAGAACTGCGAGGGGTGCAGTGAGGCTGGGGGAGGCTGTGTTCGTCGAGGGGAGGGCGTCTCGTGGGGTGGGGTCCCGGGTCGGCCTCTGGAGCAGACAGGTCTCCCTGCGCTTGCAGTCGGGCCTGCTGCGGGCGGGGGTGGAAGCCAGGCTCCTGTGCGCCTCCCGGACACCTGCTGGTAGCCACAGGGACACGTGCCAGCTGCCAGCCAAGCAGGCACCGCTTTGTCGGGGAGACAGGACGCGGTCCGTGCAACGTGCTAGCTCGGGGCTGGAGTGGGAGTCTGCTGCAGGTCCGGGTCTGTGGATGTTGGTTTCAGATTTGTCGGTTTTATCCTTTGGGAGCTTGTAGCGATAGCTGCTTTGATCCGTGTTCAGGGAGTTTTAAAAGGGAATTGGGGAAGATACAGAGAAATAATCAAGAGCAAAGAGTTACTTATCTTTTCACATAAACACTGCTCCCTAGTCCTGTGCTTTTCATTTTGTTCAGTGAACACTGGAAATTAAATCTTCGCTTTGTAATGATATCTATTGTCGAATTCGTAGATTCAGAAAAACTATAGGCCTTTTATTATTTCAGTTTTTCTGTACTTGGACAGTTTTGCTTCTTGGCATTTTATTGCATTCTTAGAAATCAGGACAAAGTAATACAGATGATCTTCAAGTGGACTGCAGGGAAGACCTAAGACTGTGTCTTCCCGGAAAGGCCAACTTTGTCTCACTGGGCAGGGCCGGCCCCTCCCTGAGCTGGCGGTGGGCACGGCTCCATGATGTTTGGGGGAACATGGAGATGCATAAACAGGAGAAAGGACACACATACAAGGGTAAGGACCATTCACTGTTCAGAAGATGCTGGAAGTTGTTTGTCTACAATTTGAAATGATTATTCTATTGATCTTTGGTTGCTGGACGTGAGCCAGGAGCCGGCTCACGCCACTGGCGGGGTCCGCAGTGAGTGAGCGTCTGCAGCCGCAGGCCTGCCTCGGTGCTGGCGCGTCCTCGGTACGCGGTTCCCGCGGGAGACAGGGAGGCACAGACCACGTTCACCCAGAGGAGCAGTGGCAGCGTGGACGGCGGTGCGTGTGACTAGGTCTTCGTCGTGAAAAGCCCTCTGTTTCTGCTCATAGTCGCATGCGATTCGCCCCACGCTCCCTGAAGTGAGGACGTCGCACTCGCCTCTGTAGCGTTGAGGCTCTGGCTGGTCCTTTGTTACTCAAGCGTTTAGAAAGCTGAGTGCGCACTGGTCTACGTCTTGCATGTTAAGGCGTCAGACGTGTTCACTGGACCGGCCTGCGTCGCTCCTCGCACGGAGGTGTGTTGCCGGGACGCGTGCCATGGGCTCGGCCCTCGCTGGGGCGGGAGCGCGGCCGAGGAGTCTGCGTGGGTGCTGGTGAGGCGGGACCTGGGCTCGGCTCTGCTCGCAGCGGGGGCGCGAGGGACGACAGGTGCTGCGCCCACAGGGCGGTTACGGTCGGGCCTCTGACCGATCTTCCTGACGCAGACCCTTCCGTTCCCAACTGTGTCTCTCGGGCACCTCGGTCGGCCGGTTCCCAACATCCGCTAGGTCCAGCGCAGCCCCGAGAAGAGGGTGCGAAGTCCCAGGCCCGGGAGCAGGTGCTGGGAGACTGTCAGCGGCCCGCTCGCCAGGCCCTCGGACTGCGGGATTCACTTCGTCTGCGCGTCAGGGACCAGGCGCTTGTCAGTAGGGCCGAAGGGAGCCCCTGGGCGAGGTTCTGCGGAGACCGGCCCGCTCTGCCTCGGTCCCTGCAGGTGGTTCCGCGCGGGAGCCCGGCCCGGGGCCTGGTCCGTCCTGGACTCAGTCGGGCTCCGCCCGAGCCCCCCGCAGAGCGTGCTGTGTCTGCGCAGAGGCGGGGTGCGCCCGAGCCCCCCGCAGAGCGTGCTGTGTCTGCGCAGAGGCGGGGTTCGCCCGAGCCCCCCGCAGAGAGCGTGCTGTGTCTGCGCAGAGGCGGGGTTCGCCCGAGCCCCCGCAGGGAGAGCGTGCTGTGTCTGCGCAGAGGCGGGGTTCGCACGAGCCCCCCGCAGAGAGCGTGCTGTGTCTGCGCAGAGGCGGGCGTGCGCCCGAAGCCCCCCGCAGAGAGCGTGCTGTGTCTGCGCAGAGGCGGGGTGCGCCCGAGCCCCCCGCAGAGCGGGCTGTGTCTGCGCAGAGGCGGGGTTCGCCCGAGCCCCCCGCAGAGAGCGTGCTGTGTCTGCGCAGAGGCGGGGTGCGCCCGAGCCCCCCGCAGAGAGCGTGCTGTGTCTGCGCAGAGGCGGGGTGCGCCCGAGCCCCCCGCAGAGCGTGCTGTGTCTGCGCAGAGGCGGGGTGCGCCCGAGCCCCCCGCAGAGAGCGTGCTGTGTCTGCGCAGAGGCGGGGTGCGCCCGAGCCCCCCGCAGAGAGCGTGCTGTGTCTGCGCAGAGGCGGGGTGCGCCCGAGCCCCCCGCAGAGAGCGTGCTGTGTCTGCGCAGAGGCGGGGTGCGCCCGAGCCCCCCGCAGAGCGTGCTGTGTCTGCGCAGAGGCGGGGTGCGCCCGAGCCCCCCGCAGAGCGTGCTGTGTCTGCGCAGAGGCGGGGTGCGCCCGAGCCCCCCGCAGAGCGTGCTGTGTCTGCGCAGAGGCGGGGTCGCGAGGGGCCGTCGGGCACTCCTGTCGCCGGCTCCCGGGCCTGCAGTCTCACCCTCGCCGTCCTCCTCGCCTCGGGTCCCAGTGTCTGCCCACCCGCTGACCAGGCTCCATCCCTGCTGCCCTCAGGCTGATCTTCTTTATTTATTTAAATATTTATTTTATTTTTTCTTAATCTTCACTCGAGGGCATTTTTTCCATATTTTGTTCAGATAGAGTGGGAGGGAGAGGGAGAGAGAGAAACATGGACGTGAAAGGGACACATTGACTGGCTGCCTCCGGCACAACACATCCGGGGCCGGGGACAAACTGCAACCGAGGTACATGCCCTTAGCCGGAACCGAACCCGGGTCTCTCTGGTCCGCAGGCCGACGCTCTAACCGCTGAGACAAACTGGCCAGGGCTTAAATATGTTTTTATTGATGTTTTTAGAGCGAGGGGAAGGGAGAGATAGAAACATCGATCTGCTGCTTTCTGCACTCACCCTACTGGGGATCCGGCTCTGACCAGGAATCGAACCAGCACGTCTCAGTCCATTCTGACGACACTCTTTCCACTGAGCCACACTGGCCGGGCAGTTTGTTCTTATTTTTTATCTCAGCATGAATCCTGCTGGTCCATTCGCCACATTTAGAAGGGAGCTCCTTTGCCCGAGTGTTCTCCTCTGACAGTGTCTGCACGTCTCCCTCCCGTCCAGTCCTCTGCGCTGCCCTCCCAGCTGGCTGGAGGTCAGACCCCTGGCCGGCAGAGAGGAAGACTTCATGTCTGCCTTGCTCTCTCGTGATTTCTCTTTGTGTGTGACTCAGTCGCCCTGGTCTCTGCACATGCACGTCGTCCTTGGCTGGCCCGGCCCTGCCTGTGGCTGACCTCTCTGGTGCCTCCCTGAGCCGCTCCGAGGGCCCCTCTGCCCTGCCCCGTGCTCACCGACGGCTCCGAGGGCCCCTCTGCCCTGCCCCATGCTCACCGATGGCTCCGAGGGCCCCTCTGCCCTGCCCCGTGCTCACCGACGGCTCTGAGGGCCCCTCTGCTCTGCCCCGTGCTCACGGACGGCTCCGAGGGCCCCTCTGCCCTGCCCCGTGCTCACGGACGGCTCCGAGGGCCCCTCTGCCCTGCCCCGTGCTCACCGACGGCTCTCAGGCTCTCGCTCTTCCCCTCTGGGCGCTCTTTCTGGGCGGTGCGTCCAGGCCCGTCGCCGCCCCTGCCTTAGAGAGCCGTCTGCCACCCCTGTCTGGTGTTTCTGCCTGTGGTCCTCTGGCTGTTCGGCCGAAAGGGCAGTCCGTGTGGGCTTGTCGTCACTGATTCGTTCTGTCAGGGAGTCAGTCAGCAGAATCTTTTTCCTCATCGCGCCTGGATGATCCCTTCTGCAGCGCAGGCTTGTTCTCTGCCCCCAGAACGTTGTTTCCAAAATGCAAACCTGTCTCGGGTTTTCAAGATCCCCCGCTGCTGGGGGGCCGCGTGCCGGGCAGCCCTCAGGCACTCGCGGCTCGAATGCTCCCAGCAGCCTGGCTTCCCTGGTGTTCCCAGTCCTGTCCCCCCACCTGTGTCCTCCGTAGAACTTAACTGTTTCTGCAAAGACCTTTCCTCTCTCCAGTCTTCTCTGTCAGTGGGAGTGCCCGCCAGGTGCGCAGGGCGCTCCGATGGAGTCGCCTTTCCTGTCCCCGGGGCCCCGTGTCGAGTCGCGCGATTGACCGCGCTCCGGATGCACCTCCTCTCTTCACTTCTCCCAGGTCTCGTCACCCCTGACCCAGCAGCAGGGTCCTCTGTGGTCCCCGCTTCCTCCTCTCCACCGCGAGCCTTGCTCCCTGCAGCTGCCCAGCGTCCAAGGAGAAATGGTTGTCATTCCCTTCATCGTTCTCCATGGCTTCCCGTTGTCCTGGAGTGAGGGGTGGGCCTGGTCCTCCCTGCAGCCGCGAGCCTGGCCCTGACCGTGTTCTACACCTCAAGACCCTGTGTTCCCTTTGACTCGCCACCAGCCAGGCCGGATGTGTGTGCGGCCCCGGTGTGCCCCAGGCTGTGCGAGTAGATGGCAAGACCTTGCTTCCGGCCCACACTGCACAGGGGCCTTGCCCAAGGAGGGCCTCTCGGCGCTGCTCACTGCTCAGCCGGTTTCCGACGACACATCGCGAGTCCCGGGACACAGCCTGTCTTGGGGGTGCCTTCTCGGCCCCACCATGTCCGTCTTCCACAGCCTGTGCCCACTCAGAACCGACTGTAACTGTTAACTTGCCCGTTTTTCCTGCTGAGACTGGACTCTGAGAGCAGGGGTTTCCATAAGTGTCATTTCTGTGCCTGGAGCCGGGAGCCCCTCACCGGACCTGGGGCGCAGTCCGTGGTGCACCAATGGCAGGGTGGGCTGTCTGCTGAGCGCAGTTTGCTGTCTCTGCCGCTCGTGGAGGGCGTCCGACGGGTGAGGTTTTGGAGAAATACTACTGACCGGTGGTTGGCAGGAGCTGCAGCCTGGCCTGCTCCTCTGTCGGAAGCAGTCTGAGCACGAGGAGGGCTGCTCGCACCGTCGGGCGGAGCTGGGGCTGCTGGGGGCCTGTTCTTTGCTTTGGGAGAAGACTCTTCAGTGAGGTTTCCCCGTCACCCACCCTGAGCGCCCAGCTCAGTGTGCGGGCTCGGCCACCACAGCAGCTTCCCACTGCTTCCGGCCCCGCGGTGCGTGGCGTGGCGTGGCCACTGGGAAGGCACGGCTCCTGCCGTGGGCGGCCGTCGGCACCTGCTGCCACAGGCCTGACTCTGGGCGTGTGTCGCATGGCCTGTGTTGGCAGGCGCATGCTGGGAAGTGGGAGGTCTGGGCCTGCAGAGGAGAAGGCCAGCTTCTTAGGGGCTCCAGGCCCTGCCTCCCCTTTGGCCCTGCTGGCCAGTGCCCGCTGTCAGGTTGTCACGGCACCACGGCGCGCGTGGCGGTCAGTGGGCACGCCTGGCACACCCGCTTGGACGCTCACCCGCTGTGTGTTCCCCACCTGGCGACCTCTTCAGGGAGAGCTGAACCAACAAGCAGCTTTAGACATGAGTCCCCTGCTGGATGGACATGAACATCTTAGAAATGTTTAACAAATGAAATAGTCCGTGAATAGATTGTTTTAAAGTTACTTATTTGAATAATTATTTTAATAATTATACACTTTAATGGTGAAATTAAAATATTTTTAAAAAGGAAATACAGCCCAGATGGTGTGGCTCAGTGGTAGAGTGTCAACCCCTGTACCGAGAGGTCACCGGTTCGGTTCCTGGTCAGGGCCCATGCCCAGGTTGTGGGCCTGATCCCCAGTGGGGGGCATGCAGGAGGCGGCCAGTTGATGTTCTCTCTCATCAATGTTTCTATCTTTCTCTCCCTTTTTCTCTCTCTAAAATCAATAAAGAAAAAAAAATTAAAAAGTAAAAGGAAATACAGCCCATGCCATTTTGGCTCTGCAGTTGGAACATCTGCCGGCAGACCACAGAGTCTTGGGTTTGATTCTGCTCAAGGGCATGTACCTTGGTTGTGGTTCATCCCTGGTCCTGGTCAGGGTTGTGTAGGAGGCAGTCAGTCTTTGTGTCTCTTTCACATCGATGTTTCTCTCCCTTCCTCCCTCCTACTCTGTCGTAAGATAAATGGAAAAATATCCTTGGGTGAGGATTTAAAATAAAAAAGGAAATACAGTTGACCCTTGAGCAGTGTGGGGGTGGGAATGCTTATCCCCCGCATAGTCGAAAATCCACGTACAGTATTTGATTTCTTTTTTTTTTAATCATCCTCACCCAAGGACATTTTTCCATTTTTTGCTCAGATAGAGTGGGAAGGAGAGAGAGGAACAGAGAGAGAGAGAAACATCGATGTGAAAGGGACACATCGAGTGGTCGCCACCCACACGACCAACCAGGGCCGGGGACGAACTGCAACCGAGGTACATGCCCTTAGCGGGAACCGCAGGCCGACGCTCTAACCGCTGAGCCAAACCGGCCAGGGCAAATATTTGATTTCTTAAAAATTAATAACCTCCGCCCTGGCCAGTTTGGCTCAGCAGTTAGAGCGTCAGCCTGTGGTCCGGAGAGACCCGGGTTCGGTTCCCACTGAGGGCACGTACTTCGGTTGCAGTTTGTCCCCGGCCCTGGTTGGTCGTGCGGGTGGCAGCCACTCGATGTGTCCCTTCACGTCGATGTTTCTCTCTCTCTCTCCCTTCTTCTCTCTCCCTCCCACTCTATCTGTACAAAAAATGGAGAAATATCCTCGGGTGAGGATAAAAAAAAAAAAATTAATAACCTCCTGTTGACCAGAAGCCTTACTGATAGCACAGTCAGTTCACACATATTCTGCATATGTAGCATACACTAAAAAGTAAGGTTGGTCTGCGAGTTTTTAAAAATTGTCACAAATCTCCAAAGAGTTTTCCCAGCATATTTATTGAAAGAGAACCAAGGTCTAAGTGGATCCTGCCGTTGAGGCCTTGCTGCCCGGGCTGACCGCACAGCGCTACTTTCGGATGGGTCAGTGGGGCATGGCCAGATGACAACGGGGGTTCTGGGATTCGAACCCAGAACTAAGCCTCAGTTTTCTCATCCGCAAGGTGGCGGTAATAACACACAGTTCATAGATGGTTCAGGAAAGGAACCCGAACCGCCGGCACCAGAGGAGGGCTCGGTGGCGGACGGGAGAGGTGGCGGCTGAGCCCTGGCGAGCAGGGTGGGCGTTGGCACATGCTCAGTGGCGTCCCGCCAGGCGTCTCCTGGTCGCCACACAGGGCAGACCGGGCGCGCTGCTCAGCAGGAAGCGAGCTGACAAATCACGTGACGTCACTGGTGGCCTGGAAATGTTTGAAGGCAGATCTTTATACCCATGTGAAAGCTAGAGAAAGGGCTGCATTAAAGCAGATACTCGACGAATTCTTTAAAAAGTGCAGTGATGTTGGAAAATGGAAGCAAGGTGCTAAGTGTCAGGCTTTGGTCAGGTGTCCCCAGGCACACCAGGTGCTCGGCTGCCTTCTGGTAGCGGGACAGGAGGGAAAGCAGGACCTCGCCCTGATTTGATGCTGCCGTTCGGACAACGTCTTTTATGGACACGAGGGCATTGCAGTGGCTGCGGGGGCTGCAGCTCTCCTGGGCAGTGTCCTGAGCTCTCTGTGCCCTGGCTTGCGCAGGAGGGAAGCATGCCTCTGGAGGACCTGCTGGCCTTCTATGGCTACGAACCCGCCCTCCCAGCCGTGGCCGATTCCAGCGCAAACAGCTCCCCCAGCGAACTCGCAGACGAGCTGCCGGACATGACACTCGACAAGGTGAGTACGGCCGTCTGAAAGCAGCCCTCCAGACCCCTGCCGCACTGTCTGCCAGCTTCCCAGTGCGAAGGGCTTCGTGGTTCTGGAGGAGACCTCGCACCCACCCGCCACTCCCCTCGCCGTGGTGACAGCTCAGCCGCCTGGCTTTGAGCACAGCACCCTTGCGAGTGGCAGCGGCTCCCAGCGCTGCGTGTCTGAGGGCGCAGTGTCTCCATCTTTCCCATGGAGACATGTTTTGCCTAAACTTCGCTTCTGCCCTAACCCCTTCCATCCCGAGAACGCTCGAGCCTTGAGCAGGGGGTCCCCCAGAGCCTCAGACCGGCTGGCTGGGTGGGAGGGTCGGAGAGCAGCTCTGGGGCCGTGGGGCCAGGCCTCTGCCAGGCTGTGTGGGGAGGCCTGTCCCCGCCGAGAGAATTCACACGGCCACTGTCTCTGCTAACAGATCCCCGGGGAGCTTCCCTCGCCTTTCCGATCTCAGGCAGGGAGAGGAATCCACATCTTGGAACCTCTTCCTGTGAGTTACGTTCCCGCTTTTCAGCACATGTGATGTTGATGACCGCAGAGCTCGGGAGCAGACGTGGAGAAGCCCACCGCGTGCCGGGCTCCGGGCGGCTGTGCACTAACGGGCGTCGTTCAGACTGTTGCTCCCGAAACTGTGTCGCTAGGCAGGACTGTTCGCTAGTCGGACTTACAAGTCAATGGAAGGGTGGACTTAGGCGACTTTCTGGTTTTGTTTATGGTTGTCCCTCAGTATCTGTTGGGAGTGGGGTGAGGGGATTGGTTCTAGGACCCCCCGAATACAAATATCTGAGGACGCTCAGGTCCCTCATGTACAGTGACTTAGTGCACCTTCCCGTTCCCTTGAGATCGTCTCCTGCACTCACAGCACCTGACCCTGTGAAGGCTGTGTGAGGAGCTGTCCTGTCTCGCGCAGGGCGCAGTGCTGCGGAAACGGCCGTGCTGTCCCCGCAGCACCGTGGGCCGGCCACCGCGGGGCGTTGTCCAGATATAGTTGATCCGAAGTTGGTTGAATTGTGGGTGCGAAACCCTCAGATACTGAGAGCTGGCTAGTTATTCACTTAGTTTGGCAGAAAGCGAGTGTAGTTGCTGACCACTCAGAAGCGAGGTTCTTCTGTTTCGAAGGCTCTGAGCAGAGCCTGCAGCCTCAGGCCCGCGGACCCAGCTTGGGGCAGGCGGTGAGGTCGTCAAAAGTGATTAAGTCTTAAGTGTTAGTATTTACGTGAAGTAAATGATAGGATTTCAGATTCTCAAAACTACAGGAGCTTCCACTAGTTCTCTGTGCTGAACGCCACGTTCACAAGTAGTGTCACAGAGACGCGTCCGGAGGTGCGCTGTGGCCACTCCGACGCTGACGCTGCGCCCTGTCCTCACAGGAGGAAATAGCGAAAGACCTCTTGTCAGGGGACGATGAGGAGACGCAGTCTTCTGCAGACGACCTGACGCCCTCGGTGACTTCCCACGGGACTTCCGATTTCTTCCCCAGGCCTCTGCGATGTAAGCGCCGCGGGGGCGGGCGGGGCAGCCACGCGGGGCGGGCGGGGCGGGGTGCACTGTGCCTTCAGTAGCTCCTCAGAGTTGGCGTCTTTCACTGAGTTGGATAGAATATGACCTTTTTATGGGGATAGAGGTCAGCTAGTAGTTTATTGAAAAACATATGCTTAGTTTTACAAGGTGGTTTTCTTTCCAAGACCCATCTGTTGCTATGATAATCCTAGTACAACAATGACATTGTTTAAAAAGCTCTTACTCTGTCAACAATAAAATATTTAAAATAAAAAAATAAAAGCCCTTACTCTCCTGGATTTAACAACTATTGGTTGTGCAAAAAAATATTTGTTTATTTTTAGTGATTTATTCAATCCTTCTTCTTCGTTTTAGTCCTTGGTGTTATCCCTTAGTGTGTGTCAGTGATTAGAGGTCTTTGAACCGAAAGACGTTCTCGCTGCAGCGAGTGTGTTACCAGCACCGTGCGGGCCAGCTGTCCGCTGGCCGGCGGCCTCCATGGCACCGAGCTCAGGGGCCATCCTCCCCAGGGTGCGGGGTGGTCTGCCTGCGCCTCCCCGAACGGTCGACCCAACCCCAAGTCTTCATAAGGAGACCGCACCCCACCTTCTCAGCCTCACTGTTTTGTTTTGAAACGTGAGCGAACACAAGAGGGTTAGTCCGTCTGTGCTGAGCTCACGTGCTCATCAAGCTTTGATAAATTCCATGTGCCCGGCCCTCGTCCAGGTGCCGCAGGAATAGGCATGATGCCCTTTTAAAATGTAACTTTCTTCTTCCAAGCAAACACTACTTGTGACGGAGATAAGGAGTCCGAGGTGGAAGAGGTGGAGACAGACAGCGGCAACCCCCCTGAGGACCTGAGGAAGGTGAGCGGGCCCCGTCCTGGTCGGTGTGGCTCAGTGGGCCGAGCACCGTCCCTGCCGTGCACTGAAAGGCGGCTGCTGGATTCCCAGGGGGCACATGCCCAGGTTGTGGGCCAGAGCCCCAGTCAGGGCGCGTGCAGGAGGCAGCCAGTCAGTGCTTCTCTCTCACATCGGTGTTTCTATCTCCCTCTCAAAACAAAAAAGTCAATAAAAATATTTAAAAACAAAAAAAAATTTTGTTACTACAAATGAAGTTTCTTTTGACCTGCAGTAACTGATTAATGAGTTGGAATTTTTTTCAGTATTTTCATAATCAGTTGTTTCTACTTCTGAATTTCCCTGCAGGAAATAATGATCGGCTTACAGTACCAGGCGGAGATCCCCCCTTACCTCGGGGAGTATGACGGCGATGAGAGAGGTGAGGGAGAGAGGTCGTCAGCAGGCCGAGCTGCCCCTCCGCGTGGGCGCGTGTGTGTGTGTGTGTGCGTGTGTGTGTGTGTGTGTGTGTGTGTGCGTGTGTGTGTGTGTGTGTGTGCGCGCGTGTGCGTGCGTGTGTGCGTGCGTGTGTGTGTGTGCGCGTGTGTGTGTGTGCGTGTGTGTGTGTGCGTGTGTGCGCGTGTGTGTGTGCGTGTGTGTGTGTGCGCGCGTGTGTGTGTGCGTGTGTGTGTGTGCGTGTGTGCGTGTGCGTGTGTGTGTGCGTGTGTGTGCGTGTGTGTGTGCGTGTGTGTGTGTGTGTGCGTGTGCGTGTGTGTGTGTGTGCGCGTGTGTGAACGTCTGACTGTGAGCCCCTGCGACAGAGACAGGGCGGCTGCAGGGACGCTGTCAGAAGCAGCGCAGGGCTGTCAGCTCCTTCCGGACAGAGCACTCGCCAGTGTGCTCGCACCCCTGAGCCTGGGGCTGCCTCCCCGGGCAGCTGCTTGGCCTGCAGGCTGCTCCAGTAGGGTCGGGTGGGGTCATACCGCCTGGGGGCCGTGCTAGGGTGTGGCCCTCTTAGAGAGAAGACTCAAGTGAAAAGGAGACCAGAAATCTGCCTGCCCAGGCCTGGGAGAGAAGGTGTGGGGTGTAGGGTCCGCTCTGGGCTGTGGTCTCTCCTGCCGTGGGGGAGGGGGGGATCCCAGCGGCAGCTGGTCCTGAGCACATGGAGGGTGAGGTGGTGGGAAGTGAGACCACAGTCAGACCTTCCGCACTGGCTTGGGGACCAGGCGGGGCTGGCCACGTGGACTTGACCATTTTCTAATGAGTTAGTTGGTCCCCGTGAGGTCGTGGTGGCGGAGCTGCACACCCAACGGCTCGTCCTGAGCCCCCTGCCTCCCCCCCCCCCCCCCCCCGGGTCGCCAGCCTTGCTGGTTCTGGTGACACCGGTTCCTGTGTGGCGCACGGTGCCGGGGCAGCCGCTGTCTCAGATGCCCAGCCTTCCCCCGCCCACGTGCCTCCCGCAGCCCTGCGGCCAGCTGTAGCTGGGCACCTGCGGCCCTGAGCCTGCCCAGGTGAGCCCTGCGCTCTGCTCTGCGGGCCGGGAGGGGCACCTTCTGCCTTGAGGACTGCCGCACAACGCAGCTGGTCCTGTGTCCGTCTCCACCACAGGGCCATGAGACCGGCCCTGCACTGCCGCGGAGCCCGGTGTGCGCTTCACGGCCGCGCCTGCGGTGGGGGTGCCCCACGCGCACATGAGCACTTGCATGGCCCCTGCTCCACAGCGGGCTCAGCAGACCATTCTGTCAGCCACGGCCACGCTGGCTCTGCGTGGGAAGCCGTGGCGCGGCGGGGGTACTGGGCGGCGTCCCACCCGGGGTGAGGCGGTGCTAGGAACGCCACCGTGCCGCTCAGACGCCCGCCGCCGGGGCTCGGGCTGCCTGATGAGCCGGCTCCGGGAGACAGTGCGAAGTTGACTTCTCTTCCTCTCTGTTTACCTGCTGCCCCATAAGTCAGAGTTCAACTTTGGGGAGGAAATCAGTAAAGGAAAGAGACACCTGAGGGATTTCATTCTTGGCAGATATTTTGGTTGTTTATGTTTGTCAGTGTTTAACGTGGGCATTTCACAGAGCCATGTGGGGAGTTCACAGAACCCCTTTGGGGTCCCTGCAGAGCTGACACAGGTGATTCCTCCCCCTCACGAGGAGACCATGGGCACCGCTGTGGGGTTTCACGTTAGACTCGACTAGGCAGAGAGACCCCTGAGTGGTCAGTGAGTTCACCACCAGAAAAGCCCCTGCTGTAGCCCCTGGGACAGTGGTTCTGCCTGAAGTTGAGGAGTGTTGGCCGTGGTGGTGAGAGGTGCAGCTCGGCAGGTGCTCAGACCGTTGGTGGCCCTGCTGCTGGTCGCCCGGCCGCGAGTGCCCCGTCCTCACGTGCTGGGCCCGTCCTCACGTGCTGTCCCCGTCCTGAGCGTGCTGGGCCCGTCCTCACGTGCTGTCCCCGTCCTGAGCGTGCTGGGCCCCGTCCCCACATGCTGTCCCCATCCTCACGTGCTGGGCCCGTCCTCACGTGCTGGGCCCGTCCTCGCGTGCTGGCCCCGTCCTCGCGTGCTGGGCCCGTCCTCGCGTGCTGGGCCCGTCCTCGCGTGCTGTCCCCGTCCTGAGCGTGCTGGGCCCGTCCTCACGTGCTGGGCCCTGTCCTCACGTGCTGTCCCCGTCCTGAGCGTGCTGGGCCCCGTCCTCACGTGCTGTCCCCGTCCTGAGCGTGCTGGGCCCGTCCTCACGTGCTGGGCCCGTCCTCACGTGGTGTCCCTGTCCTCGCGTGCTGGGCCCCGTCCTCGCGTGCTGGGCCCCGTCCTCGCGTGCTGGGCCCGTCCTCACGTGCTGGGCCCGTCCTCACGTGCTGGGCCCCGTCCTCACGTGCTGGGCCCCGTCCTCGCGTGCTGGGCCCGTCCTCGCGTGCTGGCCCCGTCCTCGCGTGCTGGGCCCGTCCTCGCGTGCTGGCCCCGTCCTCGCGTGCTGGGCCCCGTCCTCGCGTGCTGGGCCCCGTCCTCGCGTGCTGGGCCCCATCCTGAGCGTGCTGGGCCCCGTCCTGAGCGTGCTGGGCCCCGTCCTCGCGTGCTGGGCCCCGTCCTGAGCGTGCTGGGCCCCGTCCTGAGCGTGCTGGGCCCGTCCTCACGTGCTGGGCCCCGTCCTCACGTGCTGGGCCCCGTCCTCGCGTGCTGGGGCCCGTCCTCGCGTGCTGGGCCCCGTCCTGAGCGTGCTGGGCCCCGTCCTGAGCGTGCTGGGCCCCGTCCTCGCGTGCTGGGCCCCGTCCTCGCGTGCTGGGCCCGTCCTCACGTGCTGGGCCCGTCCTGAGCGTGCTGGGCCCGTCCTCACGTGCTGGGCCCGTCCTGAGCGTGCTGGGCCCGTCCTCACGTGCTGGGCCCGTCCTCACGGTGTGCTTGCCTTTCTCCGCCAGCCTCCGTGAGTGAAGACCAGCTGCTCTGGCGCCCCGGCGTGGTCCTGGAGAGCAGCGTCAAGGAGTACCTCGCGGAGACCGCCTTGCGCACAGGCAGCGAGAGGAGGGCGGACCGGCTCCCCGCAGGGGCGCTCACGAGGGACGACGAGCAGGTAGCTCTCCCGCGGCTGCGCTTGGCTCAGGCCCCCCGCGTGCCAGCCAGCGTCTCTCCTCTGCTTCTTATGTACTTATTTACTTTTCGACGTCTCTTTCTGATAGGTCTTTAAAACTTAGAAACTACTGGTTAAAAAAAATCTCGAGGCCTAGGGATCATCACTGCTGTTGTCTCGTGTCTTTTCTGGTCTTTCCCCCACACCCCTGCTGGGGTCCTGCTTGTGTTCTTGACCGTGTTGCCCGATCTCCCTGCCATCGAGAACCCTTTCCTGTGTTGTTCTCGCCGACTTCTTCCAGTCGCTGCTCTTTCTCTGTGCACCTCTAGATGGACGATAAGGGCCTCTGGGCTGTTCTCGACCTTCGCTCTGCTGCCTGGACGGTGGGGCGGGGGAGAGCATAGCCTGGGACGGGCTTGTCAGTGCCCTTGCTTCGCCCTCTGACAGCGTTGTGCTCCTCACACACCTTTCCACGCGTGTTGCCAGCCACGTGACCCTGACTGCTGAGTGCCCAGAGGCAGGTGGGCCTCGCCTGTCCCCAGGCCACAGGCCGTGCTGGCTGAGCTCCAGAGCACTTTCGTCAGCTGCCAGAGGAGGTCCCTCTGGGTTAGTACTGATGCTCCATCAACACTCCCAGTTAATTTTGGAAGAATTAGTGCCTTCAGAATAAGAACATGCCCTTCACTTGTTTACCCGTTTTTGTCATGCAGATGTTTTTGTTTGAACATGACATGCATCTGATTCACTTAAGTTCTCAGCATTTGTAAAATATTATGTGTTTCAATGCTATTGTAAATGGGATTTCTGTTATTTTTATAATGGTATAATGTTGATAGGAATATCAGTTATACTAAAATTTTTTTTCTCAAGCAATTGGAACTAGTATAATGATGTTCAGTTATTTCTCTTAGGTCTTCTAGTCTTAGAGTCACTGTCGATGCGCTTGGTCCCTCCCTCCATCCTGCACCTCCTGTTCCTGTGCTGTCTTCACTCACTGGTGCTGCCTTTGCGGACGGTGTGCACAGTGGCCGGGCCGCTTTCCGTGGGGGCGCACTGAGGCTGCTCGCTCAGCGACTCTGCCCGGCTGACATGCCTCTGCCTTCGGGAGGTGGCAGGGTCTGCTTGTGGACTTGCTACGGTTCCTGCTGCTTCTCAATTTTTTTTAATTAAAAAAAATTTTTTTTTTTGTCCTCACCAGAGGATATTTTTGCATTTATCTTCAGATAGAGCAGGAGGGAGAGAGGAAGGAAGAGAGAGAGACACACATCGACTGGTTGCCACCCACATGTCCCCAGCCGTGGCTGGGGACAAACTGCAACTGAGGTACATGCCCTTAGCGGGAACCGATCCCAGGACTCTCTGGTCCGTGGGCCGACGCTCTAACCACTGAGCCAAACCGGCCAGGGTGGTTCCTGTTGTTTTTAAAATGAGAACCAGGCTCTGGTGTCAGATACTTTGACAGGTTTACCAGTATTGAGCCATCCTTGCCTTTCTGGAGACTGACTTGGGAGGTGGAGTATTATTTAACTTTAATTGATTTCTACCCACTTCTACTTAGTATGTTTATAATTTCCAACAAGTTTAATAGGAAGAAATTCTCATTTTAAAAGCGATGCCGTGCATGGTGGAAGGAATGACTGAGATACTGGAAACCCCTTCGCCAGAGCACCGCCCTCTGGTGTGGGCCTCCTGCCGTTCTGTCCACCAAAACACGCAGGCGGGGAGCAGGCGATGGGCAGAGAGGGCTCCAGTTCTCATTCCCAGCTGGAGAAAGTGATGCAGACCGGGCCGCCCAGCAGGCCTGGCAGTGGGCGGGGTGCTGCTGAGCGAGCCAAGCAGCGGGCGAGAGCAGCGATGTGCTCACGGGCCCTGCGGTCGGCGGCAGCCTGGCCACATGGGCCGCAGTCTGCGCACCCCCCGCGTCCTGCAGTTAGAGCGCGTTCCAGCCAGTGCTGGCCAGGGGTTTCTGTTTGTTTGTGTTTAATGTGCAGTGTGCACTCTGGCTGTTTTTGTTGACTAGTTTTTCCCCCTCTCCTAGGCACTGTATGAGCTGCTCAAGTGTAACCATAACATCAGCGAAGCTGTCGAAAGGTACTGCCGCAGTGGAAAGGCTCAGGGTAGGTGCACGGGGTCGGGGTGCTGGGCGGTCTGGGGACAGAAGAGAGAACGTCCGAAGGACAGGGCAGCTGTGGCGCTCCGCACGGCCTCCGCTCACCTGCGGCGTGTCAGCGTTTCGTCCTCCTGCCTCTGTTTGTAGCCGCGCCAGACAGGACAGTCACCCTGTCGCCTGCACTTCCTGAAGAATAGTCACAGGCAGAGCAGACCCCAGAGAGCGCGGTGCACTGAAGTAATGAGGAGTGGTTCTATGATTTCACTGAGAAAAAGCTGTTCGCTCTTTTTTTTTTTTTTTGAAAAGACAACACAGGAAATGAAAGGAGATTAAAGATTTAAAAGAGAAACGTATATGATATACTCCATTGAGTTTATCACAAGAAGTGTGTTTTAGTGATGATGTAATAGCATTTTTACGATGTTTTGGTCGTTTTGTGTACCAAGGAAAGTGGTTACCGGTAACCTCAGTGTTTTGCCTCACGTGAATGGGGCGCACCCCCCGCTGTCACTAGTGCGTGGAGTGAGCTCTGCTTGGCAACATGGTGCAAGTGGCCCGAGAGCCTCCAGAAGCTGGGGCAGTGCGTGGAAACCTGCACATGCAGGCAGCCTGCTGAAACGTTTCCTTGTAAACGCTGCTGGTTTGAAACAAGTCGTTTTAGTTTCTTCCTTAGTTCAAAGTATTTTTCACCTTTGTTTTGGACTCCTGTCTGGCTTCGGGACCTGGCCCCAGGTCACTGAGTGAGCCCTGCCCCTCCCTCTGCCTCGGTAGCAGGCGGATCTGAGCTCAGTGTTGACACCTGCCGGGTCCTTGCGCGGGTGATGTTGACACCTGCCGGGTCCTTGCGCAGGTGCAGTCCTGCGAGCACACGGCTGTTCTTGTTTCCCTCATGTTTCTAGGGAACACTGAACGCTGACTGCTCGTGTGTGTGTATCCATTAGTGATGGTCTCCAATGAAAGAACCCACTGTTTCGATGTGAGGCCAAAATAAGGCTTCTTTTTCCATAAAGTAAGACTTAAAAAAATATTTTTATTGATTTTTAGCGAGAGAGAAGGGGGAGGAGAGAAACATCGATGAGGGAGAACATCAATTGCTGCCCCCTGCACGCCCCCACTGGGGATCGGGCCAGTGACCTCTTGGTGCAGGGTCGACGCTCGGCCACTGAGCCACACTAGCCAGGCTGAGTTTTTTTCTAAGCCTCACCTAAGGATATTTTTCCATTTATCTTCAGATAGAGTGCGAGGGAGGGAGGGAGGGAAAGAGAAACATTGAGACAAGAGAGACACATTGCTTGGTTGCCTCCTGCACCACCCCGCCCAGGGCCGGGGGTGAACCACAACTGAGGTACATGCCCTTGGCCGGAATCGAACCCGTGATTCTTTGGCCTGTGGGCCGATGTTCTAACTGCTGAGCCAAACCAGCTCAGCCAGGGCGAGGTATTCTAGACTTTTTGATGAGATTCACACTGTGCGCAGTCTTGGAGACCCTGGCTGAACTCTCCAGTGTAGAGCGTGGGGGGGGGCTTTGTGCTTACGGCCTTTTATGCAGAAACGTCCTGAGAGTAAGTTGGGATCTTGAAGCTTGAGGCCAACCGTCCTGTCTGACTTCCTCAGAGGGGACGCCGGCGTGGACAGAGGACGAGTGCCGCAGCTTCGAGCACGCCCTCATGCTCTTCGGGAAGGACTTCTATCTCATACAGAAGAACAAGGTGAGTCAGCGGTGAGCGCAGAGCGCCGCTTAGGGATGGCAGTGAGCACGAGCACCTGGTTTCCACGTCGCTCGCGTGGAAGAACAAGCAGCCGCTGTGAGCGTGTCCCTGCGGCTGCGGCTGCGGCTCCGATCCGGCCCGCGTGCGGTGGGCTCTGCTCCAGCCCACCGCGGCTCCGGGGCTGGCCCTGCACACGTCAGCGTCCTCACGCCCAGAGCAGTCTTCCTCCTCTTCCACCATCTCCCTCGACCCATTGCTCCCTAAGCTGTGCAGCGCTGTGTGGCCTCAGAGATGTTCCTCTCCTGGCTGGTGGCTCAGTGGCTGAGCGTCGACCCATCGATTCCCAGTCAGGGCACAGGCCCAGGTTGGGCTTATCCCCAGTGGGGGCGCGCAGGAGGCGGCCAGTCGGTGTTCTCTCTTCGATGTTTCTGTCTCTCCCTTTCCCTTTCCCTTCCTCTCTGTCTCAAATCAATAAAGGAACACATGTAAAAAAGAACAAGAACGTTTCTCTTCAGCATGAAATGCAGGTACTAAGGAACCATTGGCTCCTAAAAGCAACTAAACGTATTCTAACGACACCCAGTGCTGGTGCGGCTGTGGAGCAACAGACTGGACCGCTGCTGGGGCGCAGAACGCTGCAGCCTCCGGAAGGCAGGAAGGGGGTCCCCACGGGGCTAAGCGTACTCGCCATGCGCTCCGCCAGCCGCTCCCTGGTGCGCCCAGAGGGGTTGCAGGTTTCTGTGCACACAGACCTCAGACATGCTCGCAGCAGCTGCACTTGTCATTGCCAGCGGTGGAGGAACGAGGGTGTCCCTCCAGGAGGGAATGACGCGGGCCTCCTCTGGCGGGTGGACGGACCGCGGGCCTCCGTAGGATGGAACATTGCTTGGCTTCGAAAAGAAATCAGCTGTGCAGCCGTGGAAAGACACGGAGGGCCGGACACACACACTGCGAAGTGCAGAGTCCCGTCTGCACAGGCTGCTCACCGCAGGGCTCAGCTGCTGTGTGGTTCTGCGAAAGGCAGAGCTGGAGACAGTGAACCGTCAGTGACTGCGGGGTCGGGGGCAGGGAGGGCGACGGCAGGGTGCTGGGTGCAGGGTGCAGGGAGCGAGAGTCCTCTGCCCTGTGCCGGGCGCTTGTCCAGCACCTCTGTCCACGCCCGCAGCTGCCCAGCACCAGGCGAGCCCGGCGTGGCGAAGGGCCGGGGGAGACGCTGCGGCAGGGCAGGTCCGGGGTCTGGCGACACCCGGGGCGGGCTGTGTCCTGCGGCCGCAGCTGTGGGAGCCTGCGCCCCCTCCTGAGCACCTGCAGCTGCTCTGGAAGATCTTCGGGGAGAGTTCAGTGGTTTGGAAAGTGGGGCCTCGTTCTGGCTTCTTTGTTTACTGTTCTCTCTCCATCCTGCAGAGACAGGATTTTGAAGTATTTAGATAGGCAGGTCCATGTTTTATGTCTTTTGCTTTTTAATTAAGAGACTTTATTTTTGGAGCAGTTTTGGTTTACAGGAAAATTAATGAGGAAGTACGTAGAGCTCCACATGCCCCTCCCTCCCCCGGACACACTCCGCTCCCTCTGGCGCTGACACCTCACGTCAGTGTGACATGCTTGCAGTTAGTGACCAGCATTGACACACTTTCATTGCCTGGAGCCCTCGTTCACATGAGGGCTCATTGTGTGCGCTGCACAGGCTGAGGGCACAGAGGCCTGGCGATGTGTGTGCTGCCCAGGCTGAGGGGACAGAGGCCTGGCGATGTGTGTCCACCATCAGTGCAGGGAGTTTCCGCCCCGAATCCCCTGCTCCGCCTGCGCGTCCCTCCTCTGACCCGGGAACCTCTCCTCTGTCCTCCAACTGTTTCCCTCCTCCAGAGGCCGCGGACTGGAAGGGACGCTGTGCGGTCTTCCCAGGGGACTCGCTCGATTTTGCAAAATGCATTCAAGGTTCTTCCATGTCTTCATGGGGCTTCATAGCTCATTTTTTGGGTCATATTTCTTTTTATCCAATAACTTGTGGATGTAGCAGCTTGCTGCTCCGTTCATCTAGCAGAGGACGTTGTGGTCACTTTCAGTTTTTGATGATTATGAATAAATAAACCGCCAGAGGTTTCCCGTGGACGAAGTTCTCACCTCCTCTGGACAATCCCGTGCTCGCGACGGCTGGGCCGTGGCCCAGAGTGTTTGGTTCTGCCAGAAACTGCCACACGGCCTCTCGGTGGCTGCCGCCGTGCGCTCCGCGGGAGGAGCGAGTCGCACCCACAGCCTCGCGCGGGGCTCGGCCTGGGCTCCAAGGGGTGCGCCGCCCGCCCTGCCTGATGGGCAGCTTCTCGGGCCTGCGCGTGTCTTCGTGGGTCTCTGAAGCTCTTCGCCCGCTCAGTCGGGCGTGTTTGTGTTGTTTTGTCCCCGCCCCTTACTGTTAGGTTTTACGATTTCTTTATGTTTTGGACAACAGTGCATTGGTTGGTGTTTTGGAAATATTTTTTCCCAGTCTGTGGCTTGTCTTATCATTCTTTTGACAATGTCTTTGCAGAGTAGAAATTTTAATTTTAGTGAAGTCCACCTTAATCTTCCTTTCTCACATTGTGACTATGGTGTTATATCTGAAAGTCATTGCCATCCTCAAGGTCATCTAGGTTTTCGCCTGTTATTTTCTAAGAGTTTATAGTTTTGCATTTCACTTTCAAGCCCATAATCCAATTTGAGTTGACCTCTGTGAAGAATGTAAGACCTGTGTCTAGATGGCTGTACTTTGCATGTGGACGCTGTCCCAGCACCGCTGGTGGGAGCCCGTCCTTCCCCCCCACCCCCACCCCTCGGGCAGCGGGGCTCAGCGCGGCCGCCTTCATCTGCCCTCCAGCCCCACACTGTCCTGCCTCCGGGAGCTTTGAGTCGGTCTTGGGGCCCTGCCGTCCTGTCTGTCCTGTCCGTCCTCCAGTTTGTTCTTCTGTGTCCTGTAGGCTGTGATGGGTTTTTGCCTTCTCACGAAATTTTAAAATTAGTTTGTCTAAAATTATTTACTAACTAACTTGCTGGGATTTTGTTCAGCGTTGCCCGAAATCTATCGGTCAAGTCTCGAAGAACTGACACTAACGATAACGACGCTCCTTGTCCGTGAATGTCCGTGAATGTCCATGTGTCCAGCTCTGTGACTTCGTCGGTCAGCGCCTTGCACTTGTTCTTGGCTGGGTCTGCGTGCGTTTCGTTAGGTTTGTGCCCGTGTGTTTCATTGTGGGGGTGCTGAGATCAGTGGCATTGTGGCTTTAGCTTCGAGTACCAGTTGTTCATTGTTGGCACATAGGAACGCAGTTGCCTTTGCGTGTCAGCCTTGTCTCCTGCAGCCTCGCCGGGACCCCCCACTAGTGCGGGGGCTGGTCGGTGAGCCCCGGGATTTTCTGCAGACGGTCGTGTCTGTGAGCGGACGGCCTCGCGTCCTGCTCGGCCTGGGCCTGCCCTGTCTCCCAGACGTGTGGGGCAGCTTCATCTCCTTTGTTCCCAGAGATGAGACGCTTCTTCATTCAGTTGATAGATAAGAGATTTTAAAGAAGTCTGGGCTGCCTGCAAAACATCAGTTTTACAATGACTTATGAAATGCATTTATTCACTCTATAAATAATTAAGTCCGGTCATTACTAGACATGGTTTAAGCACTTAGACACACATCAGCGGATGCGACAGGAGAGGCTCTGCCCCGAGATGCCTGGTTCTCTGCAAGGACTCAATGCTGCTGATGCGTATTGGAAGGTGCACTTAAGTTTGGTTTACAAAGCTTGACCCTGTGTTGTTATTTTATATCATATCAGGCTCACTAATCATGATAGAATTACTAAACCTTCATTACTGGGCACAGTAGAGGAAGTGCTAATTGGATAATGACACGGAATTCTGTGTGTATTGAACTCACACCTGCAGCTGAGTATCGTTAGCGGAGCCGTATCCTGTGCAGCCAGGGTGGCGAGGCTCGGATTCTGTGGTTCTTCCCCCACTCGGTTGCAGCCAGGAGCCAATCGCATGCTGGGGAAACCATGCCTCCGGGCAGCAAATCACCTTGCGCTGCAGCTCCAGCGGCGTGCCGACCCTCCCCAGGGGACCCCAGACCTGGCTGGGCCGTGGAGCCCTGGACGGTGCGGCGGAGCCACCGCCCTTCCTCCCGGGAAAGGCCTGCGTGTGGCTTTGGGAGCTAACAGGCTCCGTGAGAGGTGGTGGACTGGCCCCTCGGGCTTCAGAAAGCCCTGCCGTCGTCAGACTCACCGAACAGTGAAGTTCGTGAGGACAGGCCCAGGGTGCCCCGTTTCGGGCTTTCGGTAAAGGTGGTGGGTGATCTCCAGGTACACATTTGTGCTGTAAACTGATGCACTCTGGTTTAAATAGAAGCAGACCTGGGCCTTGAAGGCAATCTCACTGTTAAATGGTGGGACTGCAGATTCACCACTGAGCACAGGCGCAGGAGTTTGCAGTCGGATGGAAAGCGTCCCTGGACCAAAGTCAGGTTGCGAAGAGAAGTGTAATGAGCGTATGGGGCTGTTGTTAAGGATCCACCCCTTGTGCTAGGTGAGGACGCGGACAGTCGCGGAGTGCGTGGCCTTCTACTACATGTGGAAGAAGTCGGAGCGCCACGATCACTTTGCTCAGCAGACACGGTTCGGAAAGAAGCGATACAACCACCACCCTGGTGTTACGTAAGTGTGTGGGCTGGACCTGGGGACTCGCCTTTTCCCTGGGGTGCAGTCAGAATTACTGGGTGTGTTTTTCAGGGACTACATGGATCGTTTGGTGGATGAAACAGAAGCTCTGGGCGGGACGGTCAGTTCTTCCGCCTTAACCTCTGCCCGCTCTGAGCCTGTTCCTGACCCACCGCTGAACATTCTCACCTCCTTCACTGCGAGTGACCTGACAGGCAAGGCGGCCGCTGTGTTCCCAGCACGTTTGCGTTCTCTCGCTTCGTGACATCGGACCGCTCACTTAACCGTCTGCTTTCTCTTTCTCAGCTCTGAGCAGCAGTGTCGCGACCAGCTGCAGCCCCACGGAGGCGGGCTCTCTGGACGGCGGCTTCCCTCCCCTGGGCAGCACGCCGCGGGGGCAAGGGAGCCACGTGCCGGCGGTGACGGAGGAGCTGCTGGCCCTGCCCAGCAGTGGGGAGAGCGACTGCTTCCACCTCTTTGAGACTGGATTTTACCACTCGGAGCTGAACCCCATGAACATCTGCAGCGAGGAGCCCGAGAGACCAGCCAAGAGGTTGAAGATGGGCCTTGCTGTCCCTGAGCCCTTCATGAACGAGGTTTCTGTGAACAGCTTGGGTGTGGACTTCGAGAATCACACGCACCACATTGCCAGCGCCAAGATGGCCGTGTCTGTGGCCGACTTCGGCAGCCTGTCTGCCGGCGAGACCAACGGCTTCCTGAGCGCCCACGCGCTGCACCAGCACGCGGCCCTGCACTCCGAGTGACCGGGCGCCTGGGCGCGGACGGCCCGGGGCGCGTAGTCTTTCACTGGAGTCTGACGCTCTCTATGACATCAGTGATGTCAGCCTGTGCAGAACTGTATCTTGATTTATCAAGAGTATTTTCAATTTTCAATCCATCAGTGTGGAGACGAACTGTGACCCGCAGAGTTGGGAGCGACGACTGAGCTCTGGGACAGCGCGAGCCCCGCCTCCCCTCAGCTGCAGCACCTCCCCCGCCCTGCTTCTCCCCTCCCCTGTGCTGACCGCCTGTGGACAGAGACCAGCCCGGGGCAGCGCCGGCGGTCAGGCTGAGTGCGGGGCTTCTCCTCGTGTGACTTCCTTTCGCCCTGACGGATGCAGTGGGATAGCGTGTTTACAGGTATCCTGGTCCCTGCCACATGTAGCATTTTTTGGTTTTCTTAATGAAACAAAAGCAGGGGTAGGTTTCTTTAAACTACAAACATGTAAGGATTTTTTTAAAAATGGAAACTTCTCTCATGTTATCCAACTAGAGCACTTCAGTTTACAAACAGCAAGTCCATGTCTGTGGAGGCGGCGGGAGGAGCCCGTGCAGACGAGACGCTGCCTGCCCCCCTCAGCCCTTCCACAGGACCGGCGCCTGGCTGGCGGGAGGCTTGTGGGAAACGCCCTTTATCGGCTGCAGTGGCGGCCTTTGAAGATGTGTCCAGATGGGGTCTGTCCACCCGTGTCGAGATCGTGATTGTAAAATCGTGCCGGTCACCGCTGGGTCAGGCACCGTCCGCAAGGCCAGGTGGGCGTGCCGCTCGCGGGCCACACTCCGGCCACCTGGTGGCGTCCGCAGCTCGGTGTTGACGTTTGGAGGGGCGTCTGGGTTGCACATGCTGCGGAGGACCTCGGAGGACGTCCACACGTTTTGTTTGGCTTGAACAGTTGGCAAGAAAATGTGAGTTATCTGAAATCGAGTGGTGCGTCCCCACTTCGAGTTCTACAGTTTACACGTCCAGACGGCCTCGAGCTCGTACTGTCGCGGACCTCGAGCCAGAAGCCGTTGCCGTGAGCTTCAGAAACTGCTCTGCAGACTCGCATCTCTAAGTTATTACTGCATCATGGACACTGATCCAGTGTTAGGGTTGCTGACTCTGCTTTTATATTTTAGTTAAGACAGAGTTTGACTTTTTCTTATTTGCGCCGCTTTAGTTGCCGATTCCTGCGAGTTGTCTTGCGTCGCCGGCCGCTGCGGTGCGTGGCCGTGGCCGACCCTGTAGTCTGCGTCACTTCGAGGCCGTGCTGACGGGCAGGCAGATCGCAGCGACCTTGGCGGTGGTGGAAAGGGAGGGTATTTATTCTACAAACTGTGAACTGCAATGACATCCTTGGTGCGGATGAAATGTGTTCTTGTTTTATTTGCAGCATTTTAGTGAAGAGTGCTTCGAGGTGTTTACACAGTGCGGCGCCGACCGTGCACTCAGCGCAGTGGGCAGAGCAGGCTGACGACAGTCAGCTCCAAGTCACAGCTGTGGGGTTCGCTCCTGCAGTCAGGGTGGGCGTCCAGGCGGCGGCTGCTTTCAGAGTCCATCCGGCTTGTCGGCCTCCCTGCTGTGGGTCGTGCTGAACTCTGGACCTCACTTCTTCTGTGACAGATCAGTACAACTTCTGTATTCAGTGGGGTACTGGCCACACCTTCCGTTGTTTCCCTTTGGCTTCACTCTGGGTGACAGTGGCTGGTTTGTGGGAGGAGCAGCACAGACAACCTGGGCCCGGCCGGCACCTCGGCACCTCGGCTGGGGCAGGAGCTGCTCAGTGTCTGTGCGTCCTGGGGTCTTGGTGCAAGATGGAAGCAGTGTTTCTTATCTAAGGTTTCGATTTTCAGCAAGTTGAATGGACACTTTGGTTATTTGAATAAAGATTTTTGACCAAAATTCATAAAATGATATGAGAGAAAAAGAAATTCCAACTAGTTTCTTAGATGTTAAAGTGCCGACTGAGTCCAGCCTCTTGGGGCTGACGGCCGGTGACGGTCACTTCTGACTCCTGGTCACAACGAGCAATAATCCACGTGGCTCGCGCACACACGTACGAGCCTCCCTCTGTCCGACGTGGCCAGTTTCCTGCTGCGTCTCTGTGTGCGGCCGCGGCCGCTGTGGCTGTCCGTGTATCCATTGCGCTTCTCTTTTACCGGCTGGATCGACTGCTTTTCTCTCCCCTCCATTCAGGCTTCTTCACAGAATTTGTTACTGTTTATTAGAAGAATTGCGTTTGAGAGCGTGAATATAAGTGATCAGCAATCATACGAAGAGACAGTAATGCCTTTCTTATCAAGTGTTAAGCACAATTCTTATAACAAACTGTGATAAATTCTTTTTCCTTTTTTCCTTTGCTGCATTATTTTCATATGAACAAACCAAAAACCCATGGTGAGCAGCTGCAGTGCCGGCTGCTGTCTGTGCAGATGAGGAGCCGGCGGTCGTCGGCGGTGGCTGGCGCGGTCACGGCGGGGCTGCGCTCGGGCCGCGGGCCTCCCCACGCCGGCGTGTGCACGTTGGCGTTCCTCGCGGTGTGGCCAGCTGCTGAGTTCACTTGAAGGATGTAGAATACTTTTTTAACAGGACTCAAGTGTGTACAGTTAGGTCAAAGCATTGTGCAATAGTTTCCTTTGATTTTGTACAGTGGAGGGTCGGCAGCATTTGGGCACGTCCGCTCCGACAGCGCAGTGATGCTATTGAATTTAACCAAAGTCTCGTGGCTCTTCCAACTCTGAATGTAAACTGACGACGACACCTGACCACCAAGGAGGTTGTTTGCCCAGAGTTTCAAAGCACATTGTCTACAAATGGAAATTGAAATAATTTATAAGAATATTGACATTACTATGTTTTTTAAAAAGTTCTTAATTTTTTCACTAAAAGGAGGAAACTATTAGTTTTATTGTTAAATATGGTAGATATTGAAATTCCTCTCAGAGAACCGGTGATTCCAGTGGTTCCAGTGGGCAGCAGCCCCGTGAGGATGAGATGAATCCGTGACAATCAGAACCAGTTTCAGCACCAGACATTGAAGGGGAGTTGCTGTTGTTGCGTTGATTTTAATATTTGTACATAAACACTGATTTTTTTGAGCATTATTTTGTATTTGTTGTACTTTAATACCTGTACAGGTTCCAGAAATAAAATCTGGAAATCTTTTTTTTCTTGGTTCGTGTGAATATTTGCCACAAATAGATGTTTATTTAACGCACCTTAAGCTGTAACACACAGATAGATCTTAATCACTACTAAGTTGGTTTTAGGCATAGTAAATACAATATTTGGAAGGTAAGTAATAAATAGGTTTCCTGCAAATTCTCTACAATAAATTTCCTTTTATAATGAAACTGTAGCCAGCCAAAGTGAGGATTCTGTGTTCAGTTTAACTTGGGAAATACTTAGTGCACATCCTGTTTCCAGCGCTGTTCTGAGGAGCTGCCTTCAGAAACCTTGCGTCTGGAATCTGACCACGTTACTTGGCGGAACAGATTCAGGGCAGTCACAGCTCAGAGGACCAGAAACGCCTTCCCTGAGCGTTCCCCCCTTCGGGCCGACGCTCTTCGGTCCAGGCTCCCCTGGGCCCCGTTCTCACCGTGACCACCGCTCTCTGGCCGGTCGTTCCCTGTGCTCCGCTCTGGCCACAGTGTTAGGCCTGGGGCGGGACAGGGACGGTGACCGGAGCCCGCTCCTCGGCCCTGAGAGCTTGGCTGTGCAGGGCCCAGGGACACGCGTGTGCCTCCCCAGGGGGCTTTGAGGGCAGCCAGGTGACGCCTGAGGCCTGTGTCGTGTTTCAGGCTTTTCGGGGAGGAGCAGAAGAATCTGGTGCCTTCCAGGCCGTGTCCATTTGGGCTGTCATCAGTCCGTGGGCCGACTTCTACGAGGCCTCGCGGCTTCTATAAATGGACGTTCTCATTACACATTCTCTGAATTTAAACTAGTCCCTGGGACAGCACTTCACCTTCCCGCGCAGGTCAGTGACCCCAATCCCCATCCTCTGTTTCTGTGTCGGGGTGGGGGTGGGGTGTTCTGACAACCAGTGCCCTGAACTCAGGCTGTGGGCTCCATGCCCTGTAGGGGGGTGCAGGAGGCAGCCGATCCATTTCACATTGGGGTTTCTGTCTCTCTTTTCTAAAAATATCAGTGAAAACACTTCAGAAGTACCTTTGCCCCACGATTCCGGCACAGACCCGGTCGTGGTCCCACACGAGCTCCCACACCCCCCGCAGCCTCTTCCGAGCAGAAACCGTCGTCTTCACCTCTCCCAGGGCTTTTCACTCGGCAGCGAGGGGTTCGCCTCATATCTGCTGGCGTATACGCTACGCCAACACTCGGCAGCGAGGGGTTCGCCTCATATCTGCTGGCGTATACGCTACGCCAACACTCGGCAGCGAGGGGTTCGCCTCATATCTGCTGGTGTATACGCTAAGCCAACAATGACTTTCCCCAACGTGGTGCGGCCCAGCTGGCTGGCAGCCCGAGCACTGGGTGGGGGACGCGGGAGCCAGCCGATGGATGTGCTCTCACATGAATGTTTCTCCCTCAAAATCAATAAACTTCTTTAAAATAAAGCTTTTTTATTTATTTTTATTTATTTTTTATTTTTTATCCTCACCCGAGGACATTTTTCCATCTTTTGTACAGACAGAGTGGGAGGGAGAGAGAGGAAGAGAGAGAGAGAAACATCGATGTGAAAGGGACACATTGAGTGGCTGCCACCCGCACGACCAACCAGGGCCGGGGACAAACTGCAACCGAGGTACGTGCCCTTAGCGGGAACCGAACCCGGGTCTCTCCGGACTGCAGGCGGATGCGCCAACCGCTGAGCCAAACCGGCCAGGGCAAAATAAAGCTTTTTTAAAAAAATGGGTTTTTACTGATTTTTTAGAGATAGAGATAGAAACATCCATCGGCTGCCTCCTGCGTGCCTTCTACTGGGGATTGAGCCCTCAACCCGGACATGTGTCCTGACCAGGAATCAAACTGGGACCTCTCAGTCCATGGGACATCGCTCAATCCACTAAGCCACACTGGCCAGGCTAAAACAAAACTTTTAAGACAAAAATTAAAACACTATAAAGAACAACCCAGATAGAACAATTAACATGTACCATATTTGATCTCTACGATATGCGTTTTTTTCTTTTAAATTTTTTCCTTTATTGATTTTAGAGAAAGGAAGGGAAAGGGAGATAGAAACATCGATGAGAGAGAACATCGACTGGCCGCCTCTGCATGCCCCTCCGCAGGGATCGGGCCCACAGCCTGGACATGTGCCCTGACCCGAAATTGAACCGGTGACCTCTTGGTGCAGGGTTGACACTCAACTGCTGAGCCACACCGGACTTCGGACCTATTTTAAAGTCATTGGCTTTGTAACACTTTACTCCCAAGTGCTTCATCCCGCCTAACACATCTGCAGGAGTTCGTTTCCGTATTTAGCATGTGGTTCTGGGTAACAGGATCTCCTCAATCAAGCAGATTAGCTTTTTCACAAGCCGAGTCTCCCCGGTGTCACAAGATCTTGGTGACATGCATCTGAGAGAAATGTTGAGGGTCTCCCGTGGCCCTGTGTCTATACAGGGACAAATGCCACGCAGACAAGGAACGTGGGTGGAGCTACTGGGACTGGCAGCTGGGACTGGCTATTTCAGCAAGGCCTTGTGTCGGGCGAGGTGAGGGACTGGGACTGGGCTCAGGGGGCTCTGGGAAGACCTGGCAGGTGAGGGGCTGTGCAAATGTCCTGAGGCGGGGGGGTGCCCAGCAGGAGGCAGTGCGGCCGGCCGAGTGAGCAGATCACGTGTGACCCGGGCATTTGTCCAGGATGGGAGGGGGAATCAGAATTTTGAGCCGAGGCAGGTGCAGGTCTGACGTCCTTCGGAAAGAATCACTCCCAGGGATCTCGTCTGTGATGGGGGCAGGAGGCTTTTAAAATGGGAATAAATTGACAGAAGCTGTTGGTTGTAGCAGTGACGGAGGTTAGAATCTGGTGAGGATTTGCAGGGCCCAACAGATAACCCCTCTTCCTCATCCAAGTCTGAAACGTCGGACACAGGAGTCGGGCTGGTAGAGAGCAGAGTAGTTGTTACTAATAAAAGTCTGGGAGCGGAGGCTTCAGAGCGGTGGGCCGCCCACAGGCAGCTCCTAGCGTGGGACAGCGGCCCAGGACACGTCCTCGGCAGGCCAAGTCCCCGGGTAGGAGTGCGAGGGCTCCGGTGTCCAGTTCTCCAGGGATCATCGTAGAGTCAGCCTTCCTCCCCTGGGTGGACAGAGGCCAGCAGCCTCACTGAGGGAAGCCTTCCACCTGGAGACGTGAGAAATGGGTGCCCACCCCCACTGTCTTTGGACACATTCCCACGTCAAACCATCTCTCACACGCTGTTAATCACCGAGCGCGCGCGCATGTGTAAATGTTCAAATAAAGTAAATAGCACAGTGGCCTCCCCCAGCCTCCTAGCAGCTAAGACCATCTTTTGTTTACAGGCACCGTCCCCCGTAGCTCATGGTGACACGAAAAATACATTTGGCTTTATTTAGCTTATTCTGTAAAATTAAAGTTTCTACAGAAGTTCACACACATCGACAGTAAAAGGGTTGCTGACGTGGCTGAACTGCATACACCACCACGGAGACATATCACATAAACAAAAGGAACATGAAAACTAAGTTCAGGCAGTAGGTTTGACTATAATAAGCTCCCGTGTATTTAGGTGAAAATGAACTAAATTAGAATCGCGACGGAGCAAATGGTTGTTCCCATGGAACTGAGCAGAGATCAAGTAGCCACAGAAACAGAACGCCCACTCGGGTCAGATCAGAGCACATGTTCCGCAGGGGCGCAGAGGCACAGCGAGCGGGACAGCAGCGTGGACTCCGCAGCCGAGTGAGCAGAAACCAGCGCGGCCAGTCAGCTGACAACTGTGTAGTAGTTTGAGAGGAGCTCTTCTCCCTGTCGGACGTCCCTGAGCGCGACCAGCACGACGCAGCGAAGTGGGCTGGAGACGAGAAACATGGAGTCACAAGTAGTAACAGACACAAGCTCACATGTTCATTCAACCAATATGGGTTTCCTTCTCCGCACCATCCTTAGTGTGTGCACTGGCTCTCCAGAAGGAAACAGTTCTCATCCTTGGTGGAGATGTTTAAAAACAGACTGTGTCTATTCTGTATCATTTAAAAAGACCACAGATCATCTGGCCAGTGTGGCTCAGTGGCTGAGCATCAACCCTACACCAAGAGGTTGCTGGTTTGATTCCCGGTCAGGGCACATGCCCAGGTTGTGGGCCTGATCCCCAGTGGGGGGCATGCAGGAGGCGGCCAATCGATGTTCTCTCATCGATGTTTCTATCTCTCCCTCTCCCTTCCTCTCTAAAATCAATAAAGAAAAATAAATTTATAAATAAATAAAATGACCACAAATCAATAAACTTATATAACTTGCTTCCAAACTTAAAAGCACTAGAGTAAAAATGTCTTTGGAGATACTGTAGCTAGGAAAACAACAGAATCACTTGGAAAACACTTTAAGGTTGATACTTACAAAGTGGTCCCTAGAATAAAAATGGACAAAAACAAGCAGAATGAGCTCAGCTCATGGAAAGTTTTAGTTTCAGATAAGTCTACATTAACACATTAAGAAGTGATGAACATAAAAATCTAAGGTAGAATTTTTCACTAAAATAAAGCACACCAAACTCTATATAGCTTTTTTGTAGACAAAATGTTTTCTGAGAGGGAAGCTAGGAAGGCTCTGGGGAGGACCGACCTGTGCCCCTGACAGCTGTAGGCGATGTTGGGCAGGTACTGCCGCAGTTCGATCGGGAATGCCGCGGGCACGTCCAGCTCCTGGTAGCAGACATTGGCCGGTCTGTCTAGGAACAAGTGTGCGCTGTTAGGAACGGCCCTGTGACAAGGTCACGGGAAACAGTGCTGAATCATGACACTGGTTTCTGAATTATTAGAACATGCTCGAATTAATCATCACTATTATGTTCTGGGTACTGGGTTTCTCCCCCCCCCCCCAATTTTTATTAATTTATTTTTGTTACAGATGTTTCTCCTTCCCCCCCTAGACACCCTCCTCCCCATCCCACCCAACATTGTTGTCTGTGTCCATTGGTTATGCATACGTGCGTATAAGTTATTTGGTTCATCTCATCCATCCTCCCCGCCCCCCTACTCTGAGGTCTGTTAGTCTGAACCATACTCCTTTCTATGGCTCTCGGTCTATTCTGTTCATTATATTCCACAGATAAGAGAGATCATGTGGTATTTGTCTTTCTCTGATTAGTTTATTTCACTTAGCATCATACTCTTGAGGTCCCTCCATGTCATCTCAAAGGATAAGAGATCTTTCTTTCTTACAGCTGCATAGTACTCCACTGTGTATATGGACCACAGCTTTTTTATCCATTCGTCTACTGATGGACACTTGGGCTGTTTCCAGATCTTAGCGATTGTAAGCAGTGCTGCTATGAACATGGGGGTACATATATTCTCCCTGATTGGTGTTTCAGGCTTCTTAGGATATATTCCTAGAAGTGGGTTCACTGGGTCAAATGGCAGTTCAATTTTTAATTTTTTGAGGAAACCATAGTGTTTTCCACAGTCGCTGCACCAGTCTGCATTCCCACCAGCAGTGTACTAGAGTCCCCTTTTCTCCACACCCTCACCAACACTTGTTGTTTGACTGCTAGGTTTTATATATAAAAAACATATATATAATTCACTTTTTGACAATCAGGTAGGTTAAGGTTAAGTAGAAGACCCAGGGCTCAAGTTCAGGTCTCCCTAGTGCCAAAGATGGTGCTAAATGTCGCCAGGTGATCAAACTTAGTCTCGTGGGAAAGTCAAGCCCCGGGGAAGGTAAGGGGCTCACAGACTCAGCCACTGAAAGGGGTCACCAGTCTAGTGGTCACTCTACGAGGCTGTACTATCAGACAAAATAACCTCTATTAAACAATGATGACAATAATGATCAAAAGGGCCGGTCTCAGTTGCCTATATTTACTGCCAAACCAAAACAAAACTAGTAAATTAAAGAATTCCGGTTCGTGTACATCATTGTTTCCGCACGTTCTCTCTTTGCCGCCCGTCTCCAAGTTACGGTTCACTCGAGGCTTCAGAGGGCGAAGGGGCTCAACGCCACGGGCTGTGGACACGGTCTCACCACACAGGAAGAGTCCCCTCCGCTGTGCTAGATGCCTCAGCCCCACGGTGCCGACTCACCACTGGAACAGTTGTTGACATACTGTCCTACAGCCAGAGGGTTCTGGATTTCTGCTGTCAGCCACGTACTGTCGCACATTTTCACAGGGCCCAGCCGATCCCTCCCAGTGCACGATCTGAAGCAGGCGAAAGCATGAGCTAAGGGGTTGCTCTTCTGTATTTTAAAATTCAAAACCAGAACGTGAACGCTACAACTGAAGAAGTGCAATTTCTCTTAAAAAACAGCAACACTTGCCCTGGCCGGTTTGGCTCAGCGGTTAGAGCGTCGGCCTGCGGTCCTGAGAGACCCGGGTTCGGTTCCCGCTAAGGGCACGTACCTCGGTTGTAGTTTGTCCCCGGCCCTGGTCGGTTGTGCGGGTGGCAGCCACTCGATGTGTCCCTTTCACATCGATGTTTCTCTCTCTCTCTCTGTTCCTCTCTCTCCCTCCCACTCTACCTGAACAAAAAATGGAAAAATGTCCTCGGGTGAGGATAAAAAACAAACAAACAAACAAAAACAACAGCAACACTTTAGTAGAATCGCTAGGGCCACAGAGGCTGGTGGTCCCGGTCACTGTGGTCTGTCTCCTATGATTCAATTTGAACGCGGCGCCAGCTCACCTGTACACGACTCTCGATATCCCCCTGTCGTTTCCATCGATGAGGACGCCGTCCAAGCATCTGAAGATAAACGGATTTCCGATGGACTGGAAAAAGACAGGCTCGTGTTTCTGATACACTGTACCTGTCACAGCAAGACACAGACGTTACAGCACCTGGTACAAATCACGAACGTCACGACACAGCCTTTCTCTGGAACATAAACATAACCTGTGAGAATTTTTAAAAACTTTTTGTAATTGATTTTTTAGAGAGAGAGGAAGGGAGAGAGAGAGAAACACCAGTGTGAGAGAGAAGAGTCAATCGGCTGCCTCCTGCACGCCCTCCACTAGGGATGGAGCCCCCAACCCGGGCATGTGCCCTGACCAGGAATCGAACCAGGACCTCTCAGTCCAGGGAAGATGCTCAGTCCACTGAGCCACACTGGCCGGGGTGTCAGAATTTGTTTTAATTTCTCAACCTTTTCTCTAATATTTTACCTCCAAGTTAGACTAGCACATTCTCTTTGGCTGTTTTCCGCTTTAGGGTGCCCAAGAGAGAGTGCGCAGAGCCAACGTGTCCACACAGCCTAAACACATGACTTGGTTACTAAAAAGGTGAACACAGCCCTGGCCGGTGTGGCTCAGCGGTTAGAGCGTTGGCCTGCGGTCCGGAGAGACCCGGGTTCGGTTCCCGCTAAGGGCATGTACCTTAGTTGCAGTTTGTCCCCGGCCCTGGTTGGGTCGTGAGGGTGGCAGCCACTCGATGTGTCCCTTTCACGTCGATGTTTCTCTCTCCCTCCCACTCTATCTGAACAAAAAATGGAAAAATGTCCTCAGGTGAGGTTAAAAAAATAATAAAAATGTGAACACATTTCAGGCTCAGTTTTACAGTTGTGGAGTTTTTCTTGTTTTAATTGATGAGAGACATTGATTTGTTGTTCCCCTTATGTATTTATTGGTGGATTCTTATTTGTGCCCTGACCTGGGATCAACCTTGGCATATCGGGTGGACACTCTAACCGACTGAGGTACACAGCTAGGGCTGGGGGTTTTTGTTGTTGTTGTTTGTTTTTAATCCTCACTCGAGGATATTTTTCTATTTATCTTCAGATAGAGTGGGAGGGAGGGAGAGAGAGAAACATCCATGTGAAAGAGACACATCGACTGGTTGCTTCCCGCACAATCCCGACCAGGGCCGGGGACAAACCACAAGCGAGGTGCATGCCCTTGACTGGAATCGAACCCGCAACTCATTGGTCCACGGGCCAACGCTCCAACCGCTGAGACAAAACAACCGGGGCTGTTTGTTTTTTAAGTTAAGTGCAATTTGACATCTATCATAGCACCTTTTAATGAATGTGTTTTATTAATGACCAATTAGACAGGCACGTGGGAACAGATGATTCTGACATTCGGGCTGTTTCTCCAGTCCCTGGGAATGGGGAAAATTACACACTGGGTGCTGCGTCTGTTTCAGGCATGTTAATCTAGTACATGTATTTTAGTATTTGTTGCTGGTTCTGCTTAGTCTTTACAGAGGTAATTGTGTAGGAAGAAACTGAGACTCCCTTTCTTAGGGATGAAAATTTTAAAACTGTCAAAGGACTTTTGGAAACACAGGTCTGTCTGACTTAACCACCACATATATTTTCCACTACCCCAAACATGATGTTAATTTAACAAAAAATGACATATTCTACTGAGCATCCGAGTAAAAGATCGTTTGCATAGAAGCTGCTTTACTTTCCAAGAGTAGAAATGGCAGGAAGGTCTTTACTCAGTGATTTATGGGTGTAAGCTCTATCTGTCATGTTTTAACCTGTATCCTTTTTACCTTTAGTTGTCAGTTATCTAAGCCAAACAGACTTATTCTGTAGTGCTTTCTAATAAGTCTGATCAAAGCAGGCCATACCATATTCTCCTAAATTTAAACACTGACTAGAAAAATTTCATTAAGAAAAATGCGTTTGGCTCAGTGATTAGAGCGTCGGCCCTTGGACCAGAGAGTCCCAGGTTCGGTTCCCGCTAAGGGTATGTACCTTGGTTGCAGTTTGTCCCTGGTGCCGGTTGGGGTCATGTGGGTGACAACCACTCAATGTGTCTCTCTCACGTCGATGTTTTTCTCCCGCTCTATTTAAAGATAAATGCAAAAGTGTCCTCAAGTGAGGGGAAAAAAGCAAAAAGCAAAATGCATTTATCCCAACAAATATGCATGAATACTTTCTTACACATAAAATAATTTACAGTTAAGGATTTAAAAATCCATGGATATTTGAGTTTTCAATTCAGTTCTCACTCCAAGGATTACAGGGCTAGGTAATTTTCTTTGAACATATGTTTATCAGTATATAAGAAACTGTTGGCACCTGGCCGGTGTGGCTCAGTGGATTGAATGTGGTCCCAGGGACAGAGAGGTCCCAGTTTGATTCCAGGTCAGGGCACATGCCTGGGCTGCCCAGTAGGGGGCGTGCAGGAGGCAGCCAATCGACATATCTCTGTCACATCGATGTTTCTCTCTCTAAAAAATCAGTAAGAACATATTTTTTAAAAAAAGAAACTCTTGGCAAAGTACTAATTGTGCCATTACCGGGATACATGGATACCACTGCACCTTTGGGTACTACTCCTTTAGTAATGAAGACACCTCTTCCAGCAGAAATCAATGAGCTAGTTGCTCGGGCAATACTGAACCCCAATGTCTTATAAAGAATTTCTTCGGGCTTAAAGACATTTCGCTGATGACGTCTGTTCTGAGGCAGTTTCACCCTTGGGTGCTGAACTGACAGCAGGTCTTGATACTTCAGTTGGACAGGCTCGGGAAGCACGGTCAAGATCTCCAACTGCTTGTTGAAATCATTGATGAACAGGGCCTGGAAAACGTTCAGTAATGTTCCTAGGGCATCTTCATCTGAGATAACTTTGTCTTTAAATTCATCTGGAACATACCGGAGGGTCCTGAAAATGGGAAAAATGTCTATTCACTACCCCCCAACTGATAAAAGCCAGACTGTCTCGATGCCTTCTGGGTTGCTGTCCTTCATGAAGATCATTCTCGTGGGTCTGAAGGGCAGAAAACTAAGAATTTTGGCAGAGTTCTTTGGGGTAGAGTTACCTAACTTCCCACAATACCCGTCCAAGTTGAAAACAGCCAAGATTTATGAAAGGCCCGATCTGTACAGATGTTGGGTCCTTACATTCATTGTCCCCCTTTCCAGACAAGGACACTGGGGCTTGGAGACGTTAGGAACGCGCCCAGGTCTCAAAGGCTCACAGTAAGCGGAGGGCTGGCAGCAGCACCCACAGCCACCTTGTGGGTGTCGTGCCCGTGGGACCCCTCACCGCAGTGGCTTTTCCTGGGGGTGCAGTTTCAAATACAAAGGTAAGGTGCCGTCGTACACGCGGTCCCCTTCTCCCCGGGAGTGGGGACTTCAGGGACCGCGTCGCTCCCTCCCACAAGGGCATCGTTTTACTTCTGGACGAAAGGAGGGTTAACGCCGCATCTGAAAGCTCAGGCTGTGACCCGCTTTCGTGGACGTCACGTGGGCGGTCCAAGCCGGCGTCACCCGGGCCCACGTCGCCCACCCCTCGGGCGCCGACTCCGAACCCTAACCCCACACCCCCGCCTGCTCCAGGGTCTCCTCGCTCGTTTTCAGGCGCCAGCCGCGCCGAGCTGTTCCCCGCAGCGCTGGGCCGGCTGCTCTCTCCGCGGACTCACCTCGTCGGCTGTCCTGGGGCACGTCCAGCTCCGGGCTGTGCGGGGAGCGGGCTGCGCCCTCCGTGGGGGTGTCCTTCCTGCTCCAGGACCCAGGCGACCCAGGCAGCCGACAGCTACGCCCACACCGCCCGCGGGCCACGCCCCCTGGCCCCCCCGGCCCCGGGCGCGACTGGAAATAGGCTCAGGCCCCGCCCACCTACAGCTGCACGCCCACCTCGGGCCCTGCCCGCCTCAGGCTCCACCCACCACGAGCCTGTGGCTTCAGGTCCCTTGGCCGCCAGAAGCCCCGCCTTCCCGAGGCCCCGCCTTCCTGAGGCCCCTCCTCCCCGAGGCCCCGCCCGCCCCAGCCCTGGGGTCTCAGGCCCGGCGGCCGCCAGAAGCCCCGCCTTCCCGAGGCCCCGCCCCCACGAGGCCCCTCCTCCCCGAGGCCCCGCCCGCCCCAGCCCTGGGGTCTCAGGCCCTTGGCTGCTAGAAGCCCCGCCTTCCCGAGGCCCCGCCTTCCCGAGGCCCCGCCTTCCCGAGGCCCCGCCTTCCAGAGGCCCCTCCTCCCCGAGGCCCCGCCCGCCCCAGCCCTGGGGTCTCAGGCCCGGCGGCCGCGGAGGCGTCTGGGCGCTGAAGGCGGACCCTGTCCCGGGCGCAGGCGCCTCGTCCCCTCACCTGGGGTTGTGGTTTAGGTTCAGCGCGATCCAGGGTACGAAGCGGTACCTGTACCGGCGCCACCACCGACCTAGGCCCCGGAGCAGGCGGCCCGGCATGGCGGCCCCGCGGCGCCCGGACAAGGGCACGCCCCGGCCGGGAGGAGCTGCGGCGCGTGTCCCGCCCCTCGGCCCGGCGCTCCGGCCGCGCGGGGTCCTGGTGCCCGGCGCTGTGGCCCGGGGCCCGCCGGGCGGGTGCGCGGGGCGGAGGGAGCCCGGGCGCCTTGCTTCCTGCGTTCGCTCGCGTTCCCCGCGCGGCGCGGGTTGCACAGCGCTCGGCTCCGTGGGAGCCGCGGACCCGCCGCCGTCCTCGGCCGCAGAGCCGGGACCCCGCACCCACGTGCACGTGGGCAGGCCGCGGGCAGGTGCAGGTGGCCTTGGCACGCAGAAGCCGTCCCAAAGGGGTGCGGGGGAGAGAACGTGGCCGCAGCCTCCGTCATTGTGACGTTGCGGAGGGCGCGTGCCGTCGGGGCCGCCGCAGGTCCACCTGCTGTACCTGGTGGTGGGGTTGGTGCTCGTGAAAGAAGTGACTGTGGTCCCTGCCCCCGAGAGGAACCAGAGGACCCACACTCAGCCCCCAAATGAGCAGATTGTGTCTACAGGGCCAGCGCTTTTTATTTTTAATGTGTGTCATGTCGTGGTTCCAGGACCACGGGCGTGTTGCCGAGACCGTGCTGATGCGCTGAGCTGTACGGGACGTGCAACGTCCATCCGTTTCGGGTGTGCAACGTAGAGATTCCACGTTTATAGATCGCGAGATGCGCAAAGTGTAGTTACCGGCCGTCACCAGGCCCAGTTACACATTTCTTCTTGTGATGAGAACTTGAGAGGTTTACCCTCTTCAGCCACTTTCAAATACGCATCCTCCGCCGCCGTCCTGTGGCCGGAGGGGGGTGTGCGGGCGCGGAGAGGCGAGGTCCCGGCGCGCGCGCATGCTGCGTGTCACGGGCCTCCGCGGGTGTGCGCGGGGTGAGGACGCGGTTCTGGGTTGAAAGGGTCAGGAGTGTTTCGTGGAGGACAGGTGGCGGTCACCGCACGGCACCGGTAGCGCGGACTCCTGCGGGAGCGCAGGTGAGCGGCGCAGCGCTCAGACGCGGCTGCTGCGGAGATGGAGGTGGACGGGCTCTAGTTCCGAGGACCTGCCAGTGGCTTGGAAGTAGTGGGCGCGTTTGTCGTGCTTGTGGGAAACGTCAGTTCGCTACTTGAGCACCACGTCGGGAGCTTGGGAGTGAAGCCACAGCTGGAGAGAGAAGAGCCTTCGGCCAGAGCGCGGAGGAGGTCGCCCAGGGAGAAGCCGGAGGCGAAGGGCAGAGCTGGGCAGCTGCAGGCCACGATGGCAATTGCGCGTGTTTGAGGAGAAACTGGGTGAGGAAGGAGACAGGTGCACACAACGCTTCCAGTGGGTTCCACTGAAAGGAGGGCAGAGACATGGAGCCAGAGGCCGGGAGGGTTTCGGGGACGTGCGGGATGCTGCGGCCCTTTATGTGCAGATGGGAAGGGGGGCGGGAGAGAGAGAAGTTGTGTGGGTATCTCCAGAATACAGCCCTGGAGCGGCAGGGGGAAGGTGGTCCTCCGAGGGGGACGCATTTCAACTGCAGCCCCGCAGGTGTGAGTGTGTCTGGCCCCAGGAAGATGGGGGCTAAACCCCAGGGCTCCTCGTTTCCCAGTGACCTCTGAGGAAGACCTTCCACTGAGCAGAGTCTGGGGAATGGTAGGGGTTGGAGAAGAGACGGTACCGGCCAAACAGCCCGGAGCGGAAGGCCTCCTTGCAGGAAAAGGTGAGCCTCTGTTTACCTGACCGGGTTAGGGGAAAGGGCTCCTCTTCCTGCCCTGACCCAGAGGGAAATGGCAGAAGGCTGAGTTTACGTGGACACAGTAGCTGATATCCAGATATTTAAAGAAATCCTGGCATTATTTCTCTTCTTAATATTCTTTGATGAAATAAAATAACTTAGAGCTTTGACTTTGTCCAAGAAAGAAGTTTTTCAAACTGTAAGCTGGAGAACAGGCTCACCTTTACTTTGATGAGTCAGAGGATACCTTCTTAGTCCCTCCCCCATGCTCCTGGAGTGGAGGTGTGTGTGTGTGGGTGTGGGGGGGGGGGGTAGGAAGTAGGGGCAGATCTCCGATTCCCCAGCTCTCCCAGGAGATTTAAGAATGGTGGGTGTTCTGTGGCTCTTTGGATAGCTACATTGTCTGGTATGGGTAAGATAACTGATGAGGCCCTCGCCGGTTTGGCTCAGTGGTTAGAGCGTCGGCCTGCGGTCCAGAGAGACCTGGGTTCAGTTCCTGCTAAGGGCACCTACCTTGGTTGCAGTTTGTCCTCGGCCCTGGTTGGATTATGCAGGTGGCAGCCACTCGATGTGTCCCTTTCACGTCGATGTTTCTCTCTCCCTCCCTCCCACTCTATCTGAACAAAATATGAAAAAAAAAAATTACTCGGGTGAGGATAAAAAGCAAAAAAAAAAAAAAGATAACTGACTAGTATTTACTCCCTGATAACTGTGTACGGCTTCAAAAGATTACAGTCCAGTTGGAAAAACATAGTTTAGGAAGTGAAATGTTAGTTTTCACAGAGCTTCAGAGTGAGATATACTGAGGTGAGGAGTGTGTCCGGGCAGCAGGGAGGACAGGGGAAGGCTCAGGTAGCATGAGCCAGCGTTCTGAGTGTAGCCGGGGACACTGGGGGTCAGGCCTGGTTCTGGGGCACAGTGGAGTCTTCTAGGGGTGACATGATGTGTGGTAAGACAGACTGAAGACAGAAGCCCAGATGAGAATCCAGCTGTCTTTTATTAAGCCGGAAATGGAATAGATTTGTAAAATATTTTTTAAATGCCATTTTTGGGAGGATTTAGCTACTTTTTATTATAAAGATATGTTATCCATATTAACATTAAAAGATTCTTAATTGTTACTGTTATAATAACCCAGTAATTCTCCATCTGCTAGAAGAAGGAACCTCCCCTGGGTTCCTTGAGCCCGAGTTGTTTTTGCAAAAACTCTTGAAGAGGAAGGTATGCATCAGCCATGACCATGAGCTTAACTAATCAGGAGATGCCAGACGGGACAATGAGGCATTCAAGGCTGGGGTCTAGTAAATGTTAAGAAATATAAAACAAACAACGTGTGCAGTTACTAACTGCTGATATCTGCTTCTGTACACGTAGCTTGCTTGCTCTGCTAAACTCTTGAGTAACCCCCGTCCTATATAAGCAACCCTCCCCCTGAGCTCGGGGCTGCAGTTCTCCTCTGTGTAGGTTGGCTGCAGTCCCTGCGCAGGTAATAAAGCTCCTAATATTCAAAATTACTTGATGTCTGAGTGAGGATGACTCTCCTGGGTTACAACAGTTACTTTAATGAATCAATAAGTAAATATTTTTAAATTTACCTGTTTTAATGTGATATAGTAAATATCAGTAGATATAACCCACATAAACAAAAGATCCTTGGGGACTCTTGAAGATTTTCAGAAGTATAGTGGGGCCCTGGCCTGTGTGGCTCAGTGGATTGGGCATCATCCCATGCACCTGGGGGTCGCCGGTTCTATTCCCAGGCAGGGCACATGCCTGGGTTGCGGGCTCCATTCCGGGTGGGGGGCATGCAGGAGGGAGCCGATTGATGTTACACTCTCACGTCGATGTTTTTCTCTTTCTCTCCCTCTCCCTTCTTTTCTCTCTATAAATCAATTTTTAAAATCTTTTTAAAGAAGTGTAATGGGGTCTAAAGGCAAAACTGTTTGAGAACCAAGTGCTAGAACCACATAATGTGATGCAAAATTTTGAGATGGGAAGTATGTGACAAAGAAGCATTAATCAGACATTGAAGTCAATGCCGGTTCTATGAATCACAGTGTAGTGGATATTGATGAAACTGGACACCAAGATTTCCAAGTTATTCTGTGCTTCGGGACCTAAACTGTTGCAGAGAAGAAGAAAACAGCGGTTTCCGTTAGTCTTCCTGCGAGTTAGCGAAGCCACTTCTCCCTCCAGCCACCCACGTTCCCCTGGGGGGAAGCACTTGTGACAGATGCACAGCTCTGTCGGCGGCGCGGTGTGAACGGTGCCCTGGAGCTGTGGGCACAGTGGCTGGTAGCTTTCAGTAGCTGCTTCTCAGCCCAAACTCAGACCACGGGGGTGGGAGCCGCTGGCAGGAGCGAAAGCACAGAGGCGAGATTGAGCACAGTGGCTTCAGAGGACGTGTGATCTGATCAGAGCAAAAGCTGCCTTAGCAATAGCAGGAAATCAAGTGTTTGGGCAGAGTAAGGCCAGGTCACCGGAACGTCTTGAGATTTGAGGCACGTAGTTATTGAAAGTCTCTAGCAGAGCATCAGCGGGTGGAAATAGTTTGGGAAGCTCGGAAACAGTGGTTGCAGGAGGCTGGGTGGACGGGTGGGTGGCCAGCCAGGGGACAGAAAAGACAGTATCATGTGTCTTGGTACAGCGTTTCCTTGCTTGTGACTGTCTCAGAAGATAGGAGGGTAGAAATGTCCTATTTGATAACAGATAAACATCGAGTCTGGCTTTCAGCTTGGAAAAATGGAATTCTCAGCAACTGCCCTGAGATTTTCCAATTTTCTTTCTTTTTTAAAAAGTTTTTTTTTCTTTATTGATTTTAGAGAGAGAGAAAGAGAGAGAGGGAGAGAGAGAGAGAAACATCAATGAGAAAGAACATGGATTGGCCACCTCCTGCATGCCCCTCACGAGGGACCAGGCCCACCACCTGGGCATGTGCCCTGACTAGGAATCAAACTGGCGACCTCTTGGTGCAGGGTCGACGCTCAACCATTGAGCCACACCAGCTGGGCAGATTTTCCAGTTTTCTAAGAGGAGCACCGAAATAACTGCTCTGTTCCCGAGGAAGGGCTGAGGTCAAGTCTGACTTCAGATAGTTGGCAAAGTGAACTCGCTGTTAGGAGCGTCCTTTAGCTAAAGAAAAGTGTCGCTCTGCCGCCCTCTCCTGGACGTCGTGTGGTTGCCTGAGCAGCTCCTCCGGCCGGCCATCGGTGAGTGCAGGCTGAAGAGCCACAAGCTCCCTGCGAAAAATGAACAAACAAGCCACAGAAAAGA